ATTTTATTATTTCTTTATTTATTTTGGTAGATAAAAAATATTAATGTTGGATCATACTACCGTAAAATGACTTGAAATTATGTTACTTTGAATGAAACATTTACTTCCAATTTCTCACACATTATAAAAAACAAATAACTGTCAAGAGTCAACACTAAAAACACAAATCATATTGTTTCATTGATAGCATAACATTTTACTTTGAAAGAAATCAATAAAAAGTATTTACAATTCACCATAGAGTATGTAAATCACTCATTTAAAATTGCTTTGCTGCAAATTTACTGCCATGGAGGTTCTTCTAACAATCTAACCCGACTTACGGGTGCTTCCAGCAAGCGTAGAGTTAAGTCGACTTTCGCGGACGGAACTCGGTGCGGAAATGTTTTGAAGGTACAATCATTTGGAGTTACGCGAACTTAGCGGACTTACGTTGGACTTAAGCCGCTACGAGCACTTAGCAAAGTTTTGAAAGTACCTGCCCTGACCGCGTGAGCTGTGCTGAGAACATTGCTGCCACCAGCGGCAGCGATGATCCTCTCAGCGTGTGTACGAGCTCTGAAAACAAACATTTCTGTTCATCTAGACACTATCACTGCGTGAAATATCAAATATTTTGAACGTTATTAATGTGGTTATTAATGTAATGTTAAATTTTTCCAATCATCGTTATTTTTACTGTATCAAATTGACATCCTTCTCAAGCAACTGTTGTCTGTGAGCATGCAAGCGGGGACAATAGTTTTTTGCAATCAAATAATTGCAAATCCCGCGCTAAACAAGTTTATTGCCATGCAATATAACCCATAGAAAAGACCACATCCAGCCACTGCGTGATCGAGATGACAACGAAAACTCAAAGGAGCTAAACGATCACGTATGAAAAACAGACGAATTAGAAAGTAAATGTAAAGCTGTTATGCCGGCCAACATTCCTCATGAGCAGTTCAGAATAAAGAAAAAAAGTAGCGGAGAACCATCAACTGCATCTGCTTTTAGGCTTTGAGTAAATCTTTGGGATCGTGAAAAATGAGGGCAATTGGTGATCGTTGAAGACCGATGATTTTTAGAACAGACAAATGAGTTCTTTCGACGGTACAAACTAGAGGCATTTAAAAATGATTATAAATCGATACCAGCGCGCCTTTTCGTGGCCAAAGGATCGATCGTTGACTACTAATGGATAATAGAAACAACCGAGTATCTTAGAGAGAATCAAGACCATTAAAAAGATGGTTAAATTTAATAATGATGATTTAACAATGCAACGCACCCGTGGCGATGTGATCCTTGTTGCGATTGTTGACTAATAATTGCTAACAGAAACAACTGAGTATCTTAGATAGAGAGATTCGAGACCATTAAAAGATGGTTAAATTTAATAATGATGATATATTAATGCAGCGCACCGGTGGTGATGTGGTCCGTGTTGCGGTGCACCATGTCCGCGATGTGGTACTTGACGCGGCCCACGTAGTGCGCCACGGCGAACTCTGTGTTAGAGAGCCGCGTGATGAGACGACCGTCCGCGCGACTGCCGAGCTTATCTGCACCGAAATGTCGGTACACTCAGAGAAATGAATGGGTCAAATCATACTAACACACTTTCTGCACGTGGCACTGATTTGCTCATTCGCTGCAACAAACTGGGTCAGGATGACCCACTCAAGGGCCGTTTTTAATCACGAGTTTGCCGAGTTTAATCTACCGTGTTTAATTTCAAGTTTACGTATTTAATATCGAGTTTGCCTTGTTTAATCTCGAGTTCACCGATTTTAATCTAGAGTTAACCGTATTTAATCTCGAGTTTAAGTTGTTTATTCTCGAGTTTAGCATGTTTAATCTCAAATTTACCATATTTAATCTTTATATGTAACTCGAGTTCACCGATTTAAATCTTTAATCTCGAATTTAAGTTCTTTAATCTCGAGTTTAGAATGTTTCATCTTCAGTTTACCATGTTTAATGTCAAATTCGCCGTTTTTAATCACGAGATTAACAAGTTCGGTGACCCCAAGAGACCTACCCTGGAGCGACGTTTCCCCAGACGCGTGCTTGGTGCAGTCGTCGAGCAGGTCCAGCAGCCCCACGCGCTTGGCGAGGAACACCTCCAGCAGGTGGCGGTTGTCAGGGAAGCTGAAGCTCTGCGTGCCCGCTACGCCTTCGCTCTCGTAGTCGTTCTCCAATATTGCCATGTTGTTATTTAGCTATTTATTTATTATTTATAGCGTTTAACGTTATTTTAGTGTTGTAACGTTATTTTAGCGCTTAACGTTATTTTAGCGTTTTAACGTTATTCTAGCGTTTAACGTTATTTTAGCGTTTAACGTTGTTATAGCGTTGTAACATTATTTTAGCGTATAACCATTATTTTTAACGTTTTAACGTTATTTTAGCGTTGTAACGTTATTTTAGAGTTTCAACGTTATTATAGCGTTTAACGTTATTTCAGCGTTTAACATTATTTTAGCGATTAAACGTTATTCTCAGCGACTACTCACGTGAACATTGATAGATTTGAAATCATTGCCTACTTATTAGAATTTTTTAATTTTATCAAATATTCTCATTTTCAAAGTTTTCATACATTAATTCCATTACATGGTTAGAATTTTTAATTTAGTATGCTTAATTGTTGCAGCTTTCTTTGTATTTTCTTCTCACTAGCATTCCTAGCTGTGTTCTGTAACCAGTTTCTATTTCTTTCCACTTAAATAATGTAGTCGTGTATATACCTAAGACGAAATTGAACTGAAGATACTCTAAAAGCAATAAACCAAATCTATTCAGGGCGTTATGGTCAAATACTGAACCAAATTATGACTATATTTATAATGAGGTACAACTTTATTTAATCTGTTCTAAACACGCCGTTTCGCTCATGGTTGTTACACGAGCACCACTACTATAAGCCATCACATGATTATACATAACTATCGACATTTATAGGCATATCTTAATAAACAAAAATAATGCTTCACTTTTCCAGCAAAAGTCATTAGTAACCCAACAGAGCAGAAATATAAAAAGTTACAACTTTTTCACTAATGCTGCTCAAGTGCATCAAATTACTTCAGAAGGTTTTGAACAGACTCACCATCTCCCAGGAGAACACGACTTGGTTGTAGTAGAACTGCATTTGTTCATTGAGAACATTCACAAGCAGTTGTTCTAGTCCGTTGTGTTCAGTAGCTTCAAAACCTGCCATGTCCATCACACTTACTGCCAGACGGGGCCCTTTCCTGTCCATATCAAAGTATTATTGCTTACCTTCAAGTCATTTTACGATCAATAATAGTTTATTATATTTCGTACGTTTAACTATATTTCGTACGTTTAAGTAAATTTCGTACGTTTAACTTTACTTTGTTCGTTTAACTATATTTCGTTCGTTCAACTATATTTCGTACGTTTAACTATATTTCGTACGTTTTATTTGTATTTGTGTCAGTGTGCATGGAAGAATAGATGTAAATACAAATATCCTACAAAGGATTCGACGAGTGAAAACTTTTGCCGAGCTCTGCGTTGAGATTCTACGGCGAATGAAACACCGAACAAAGAATTACAACAAAACAAAATAACCTCGGCAATTTCAAATAAAATACATCTTAGAACGAAGTACGATTTCATTTTGTAATTGGTTCCTAACGAAGTAAGATCCGAAAAAATTCACGCAGATTAAAAATTAAAATTTTTGATCATTTCTTAGATAATTCTTGTCATTTTATTTTATAATAATTTTTTAAGAGACCTGTAGGCAGGTTTAGGCGCCATCTTGGCGTTGATGAGCTCCACGACGGTGTCGACGAGCCGCGCGTACAGCGCCTGCACCAGCGCGTCGCGCGCCGCCGACGCCCGCGCGCCTGAACACAATCAGCATAATAACCTTCATTTATATAATGAATATGTTGAATACAATGAACACAATAAATACAATGAATACAATGAAAAACTAGAACATAATGAATACAATTAATACAATGAACACAATAAATACAATTAACACAATGAAAACCATGAACATAATGAATACAATTAACACAATGAATACAATGAACACAATGAATACAATGAATAAAATGAACATAATGAAACTCGTTCAAAGCCACTAACACATTAGAGTGCAGAGTAGATTACATCGAAAATTATCACTCTCAGGACCATTACTATAGATTAAAAAGAGAATAATTACAAAATCGATCAGAATTAAATTTCCAGGGCAATAAGAACAATGACAGCGCAAATATAAATATATTATATAATAATAGCAGACCTGAATGCGCACTGGGGCTGACATCGCCAGTAGGAGAGACCCGACAGCTCTGGCACAGCGCCCATGACAGCTTACGGTGGTCCACCCCGAGCTGGCGAGCAGCTATGCGGGGGGATAAGTTATTGTTACGTTTAACCTCCTGAACATATTGAGGTTGCGAAGGGATACCAGTAGTGATAAGTTACATATGCGATATGTTACATATCAAAGGATCTAAGAGAGGGGGAGTTCACCCTGGAGACCTTCATGAGACAATTGGACGTTTTCCTGAGCACAATCCCAGATCGACCTCCCCTGCAACACTACCAGCGGCGAGAAGCAAGCAACAGCATCGTGCATCAGGTGTTGCTTCAAGAGCGATCTTGTGCCCTAACGCCAGATTTTCTGGCGGTACCTTAAAAGCTTTATTAAGCAGTTTGTCGATCAAGAATGTTGCGCTGGTTTTTGATATTTAAAAAAGTTTTTTTCAAACTCATCTTTGCTTAAATAAAGTTCACGTTGCATACGTGTTAACTGAAGTTTTAATGAACTGAAGCTAAGTGCAATAAAATACCAACCACAGATGCTTTATTCAGATCGGTGTTTTTAACAAGATAGTAGTTCCCTTCCTTTCGGCGCAGAACAATCTGCATAACAACATTGAAAAGTTACGGCAAACATCCGTTGACTCGTGAGATGCATGTTGTACATAATTTTTTCAACGTGTTTAGGATCCAATTCTTAACCTTAAATTTATGAACTATATTTTGCCTATTTCTATTAGTTAACTACATCGTGAAGAGAATTCTCGAAAAATAAATTAAACATTCACTCCACTAATCCCTTCCCAGCAACAAATCATTAAAAAAATATAACTCAGTACTCACTGCAGTGAGTGACAGAGAGCGCATTTTCTCGTCGAAAAAAAACGTGAAGTCACGAACAGACGGACGGACGGACATGACGAGCACAATAGCAGCTTTTTTACATAAATGAGAAAATGCGCTAAAAATGAATTTTGAAATTGCGAAAAAGATTACCTTCTACAACCGGGGCTTGGTCCTCCACCGTGGCCACTTGTGAGTCTCCGAAGCGGACGTTGCCGAGGTGCAGGATGGCGGCCAGGATGTGGTAAGCGGTCGTAATTTCATCCTTAGAGAAACCGATGAGCTGCACAGAAAATTAAATTTACGGGCTTGTTATTTTGCTTGAATAATGGACGATGCATAACGCATTAGAGTTGTTCAGTTGAGCAATACCCTTCACACTAATAGTCTCAGCATGCGCATAGCATGAATATGGTTAAAAAAATTTAAACCTGAATAAAAAATTGCTGGAGCAAATATTAGAAATGTATTGAGATACAAATACAAAGAAAGTATGCGAAATAGAGCGCTTAAAAAATTTAAACCCAAATAAAAAATTGCTGGAGCAAATATTAGAAATGTATTGAGACAAAAATATAAACAAAATAGAGCGCACAAGCAGGGCTTCCTCCATCTGGGCGAGTTTGTGGGCGTTCTGGACTTCGTTGTCGCAGTGATGCGTGGGCAGGAGGGCGTAGCGCCGCCCTACGCTCAGCCCGAACTGCGGCAGACGGGAGCTGAGCGCCAGGCCGTCGTACAGGTAGTACAGCAGGTGCAAGTTGCCGCCTCCGCTGCGTACAAGGATCTTCATTAGCCAGTGTTGCTTGAGTTATCACTTAATCAACAGCGGCCTTCAGAACTGAGTAACAATGCACTGTTAGAAAAAAAAACGTGAAAAAACTGTTCTACTGGCGTTTAAGTGGCCGGTTGCCCCGTGAAAATAAACTGTTTAGCCGTTTTTATCAGATATTTTACGGATTTCTAGTGTTAAATTAGAATAAAAACGGCGACACGAAGTTTCTTTTCACGTGCCGACCGGCCACTGAAACGCCGGTTATACCGTTAACGCTAATTTTTCTAACAGTTTGTACAGTGAGCAGTGAATGTTGGTCGAGAGGATCTAGAGCGTATGTCAGAGTAGAATAACAGTGTTCGGTGAGCAGAGAATGTGCCGTTCATCAGTATGAGCAACTGTTCAGTCTTGAGTAAAAATGTTCATTTATCTCTGAATCCCTGTGTATGAATAACACCTCCATAAATGCGTCCCACTATAAAAAAAATCGTTTAAAAGTAATTCTAGTTAGTGTTCCATGCCTGGGCACAATAGTAATTAACTCCATGCCTGGGCGCAATAGTAATTAACTCCATGCCTGGGCACATTAGTAATCAACTCCATGCCTGGGCACATTAGTAATCAACTCCATGCCTGGGCACATTAGTGAGGCGCAGTTTGTCCAGGCAGCTGAGTGCCACATGTAAGCCACAGAGCTTGCCGGAGCTGCTGAAGAGCAAGTCAAAGTGGCGCGTGTGGCGCGTGGCGCTGGCGTTGAGCTCAGTTGTGGCGTTGCCCATGGCGTCCAGAATAGTCACTACGCCATAAATCTTCTTAGCGAGCGTTTCTTGATGTTGCTGCTTGAAAAAGATAATTCAAGAAACGTAAGATTATCGGCTACATAACTCGTAAGTGGAAGCCGTGTTTTTAGCGGTTTNTAAATTCATTTATAAAAATATAGAAACATTTTTTAAAAAATGAAACTACATTTTGGAGGTTGTTATTCCATTATTCCTTGAAAAAAAGTATCCCAAAATACGCTGACATCGTAGGTATAATGAATAAAGTGAGATTAAGACCATTCGTTCACTAGAACACAACTAATATTTAAATGCAATTATTAATTAATTATAAGTTATTATTTAAGTATTAATTAAGTTAATTACTAATTAAGCAGTCTCACCGCCCCGATGTAGCACAGATGCTCGATGACTTTCAGGAACGAGAAGGACTTGCCGGCGCCAGACTCTCCCGTCAGAAGAATGGTTTGATTTTGCCTGCATCACCAAACAAAATAAAAGGAGGAGGAATTTGGTACCGTGAAATTGTTCCTAAAAAAATGAATCCGAAATCATCTCTCTACGAGAATTTATTGGTCAAACATGAAGTTGAACATCTCATGAACAGCTGATATCTCGTGACGCAAATATAGCTGTAGCGCCTAAACGACAACCAATTTATTGAAAAAATGGCAACCTTCACCAGTTAAGTCGTTACGATTCCTATTAAAATATCAACACTCTACAAATTTTCGCAAAAGCCAGTTATTTAATAATAATAATAGCGGTTTCAGCGTTTAGTAGGCAGTAGGCCGGTTGCCGATTCTTAACATCGCAGAACATTCACAGCATTTTGCGGTCTCGAACTCGCAACTCACTGCTCTAATTCTTAACCGCCCGGCCTCCTCGCCGATTCTGACCAGAAACTGGCGCACAGAGCTGGGATCGAACCCGCGCCTCTCTGCTCCAATCTTGGTACTCTGAACTGTAACCACTGGGCCACCCTGCATCAGTGTTTATGCAAGAGAGTAGAATCAGTCTCGTACTTGTGCTGGCGACTCATATAGGAAGAAGCCTAGGCGGTCCCAAAAATTTGTTATGATGGTGCATGAGGTGCTGTCATCACCCCATCATACCTGTGGTGCTGTCATCACCCCATCATACCTGTGGTGCATGAGGTCCTGATGAGCTTTGTCAGCCACGGCGAAGATGTGCGGCGCGTTGTCGCAGCGAGCGCGACGCAGGAACTGCTTGTGAGTCTGCATAGACACGAGTTTGCGTCACATTAATACGTATAAGCAGCTTAACACTTCATGAAAATTGGTTATTTGGCAACGAAGATGGAAAAGTGAATCATTGCTAGCTGTAGGCATGGGCTTTAGGCATGGTTAGAGACTAGGTTTGTCGAATAAATCGCACATACACTATGAAAAATTCCGAGCGAATTTATACACACAACATTGTGTAAAATTCGCAATGAATTTTATACAGGCAATAATGATAAAATTTACAATGAATTTATACACGCAATATTGTGTGAAATTCACAATGAATTCTATACACGCAATCATGTGTAAAATTAACTCTCATTTACAACCCTCAGCACGACGCTAAGTAGACCGCTAGGCCAGCACTGTGCAGCACACTCACCAGTTCATCGTAGGCGTGTTTGACGGCGTTGGTGTTGACTCACCAGTTCATCGTAGGCGTGTTTGACGGCGTTGGTGTTGACTCACCGGTTCATCGTAGGCGTGTTTGACGGCGTTGGTGTTAACGGCGATCAGGACGTCGGCGAGCCACGTGTACAGCTGTCCTCTCTGCCACCGCTCCTCCAGCGCCTCTACCACAATCTGATCAAACATCCGTACATATCAGGAATATAAACAATAATTAAATCGTAGGGAAATGACAACAAGATTCAACAATTATAATCTGCCATCGAGGCCATCATCAAGCAAAATAAGCCTGGCAGTTAAGATACTCGAGAAACTGCTATACCAATCAAGACGTGCAGGTACATACATTTTATGGGAGACGCATTTCGGATTATCAATTATAATTTTGAACACATAAAATTGATATGACCAATAAAAAATTTGGCACCAGAATTTTGCAGCATTGCGCATGCAAAATTTCGTTAATACAAAATAGTTCTGAATATTAGGTAAACTTGAACACCATTGCAGGTATGACAACTACTACAGGTATCACTGATACATACGCGCTCGTTGTACTCGTCGAGCGCCGCGAGATCCTCGACGATGAGCTGTTCGCTGCGGCCGTCGCGCTCTCGCTGGTCACAGTTAAGAGTGTTATTTTTTACGTTGGGATTACACATTAAATTAAAGTAATAACAGGGTTCGCGCGTTAAAAAATTTAACCCGCTATCAATAGAATATTTTTTTCCTTTATTTTGGACACAATGGTGCATATCGGAAAACTATTATAGTAAAATTTGAGTAGGTACTTATCTCTTCGCGTATACTTCGATTAAAGTTTTTAAATTACCATTAATTCGACCAAGATATCAGTTAATAAAGAGCTTTGTGAAAGAAAGATGACAAATTGGAATTATCCTATTATTCTCATGAACCGAAACTTTTTTACCATAAAAAGATGTTTATACCGATACTTATGTCATCTAACATGTATTTAAACATTCACAATGACCAACCATGTTTTCAACAAGTTCGATTATTACTGTTTATGTCATCTTTCAATATTGCTTTGCAACCACTGAACACGGAGTTTTGTCATCTCCCAGCCAACTATAATTCATTAGAATTCCTTATGAAAATTTAAACATTTTTGTACGTCTTGTAGAATTCTTGTCTTATAAGAAGATTCTTGTCTTGTAAAAAGATTCTTGTCTTGTAAAAAGATTCTTGTCTTGTAAAAAGATTCTTGTCTTATAAAAAGATTCTTGTCTTGTAAAAAGATTCTTATCTTGTAATTTTTGTATCTAAGATTCTACCACAATGACTTTTGTAACAATAGTGTACGAAGCATTTCACCACTCAACACATCATCATCAATGATTGTGTTGAATGCAGCACCAGACCTTGATGAAGCCCCGACGTGTGATGGCCTGAGGTGCGTGCGTGGGACCACAGGGCGTGGCTCTGTCGGGGCCACTCGCCCCCAGCACGCAGATCTCCACGAGCCGCGACTTCATCTGTATAATATGCAGTTTATTGTATAAAATAATTGTTATAACAACTGAATAAATTAGATGTTCCTTACACTTCTTTCATCATATTTTAAAATAATTGATATAATAACTGAATATAGTAGTAGATGATCTTACATCTTCTTTCATTTCTATCATATTTAAAGCTGCCGTTTAAATCTTTAAACTTCTTTAATCATATTTAACGCTGATGTTTAAATTTTGTTCGAATTATGAGATAAATATTATTATTTTTTAGATCTCGCATGAGTTCTACTTTTTTACTTTTTTAAATCGCAGCCTAATACCTAAGTTCAGTAATTGAAAATTAGCGTGAGAATATAACATTCATTCATAAATAATTAAAAAATTAAGAATAGTCCAATACGGGGATCCCACCGACTATCAACAAACTTTTCCGTATAACTGCGTCCCAGTAATAGTTTATTAATCCAGTTTATTTATAGCCAGGATTCGTTGGATGACTGAAGCATCGCATTGACAAAAACTTACAGGAGTGTCATCTTCCCCAACAGCTGGGGACAGGAAGGGGTGCTCCAGTAACTCCTCCATGTGGGGACGGTGGTCGGGGTTTTTCACCAGACATCTGAGATCGGGAAATGAAAATACAATAAAACTCAATAGCAATAGAATAAAATATATCAATGAATAACCCGATACACAGCCATAGTAAAAAATCAGTAAGAATTTCATATCACCGTCATAACCTAGGAAAAAACCTAAGAAAAAAAAACTAAGAAAAAACCTAGGGAAAACCTAGGAAAAAAAACTAATAAAAAACTAGGAAAAAAACTATAAAAGTCTAATTGAGGAGAACGTTGCAAACAAATCTTACGGTGTATAAAGCAGTTGTCTAAATGGGTATGCATGACTCACTCGGCCACAAAGTCCCTAAAATTCGAGGACCAGTCGAGAGGTCGCCGGTGTGAGGGAGGAGGGTTGTGGGCGATGTGGAAGAGGGCGCGTACAGAGGGCAGGGACGCGAGGGGCGGCGTGCCCTCGCACATCTCCAGTGCCGTGATGCCTGACAGATGCATTCTATTTTACTTTCAAAAATAAAAGCCTTTAATTTTATTTTTATAAAATAATAGCCTTTTATTTCATTTTTATAAAATAAAAGCCTTTTATTTCATTTTTAGTGATGACTTTTATCCATTTTATAAAATAAAAGCCTTTTATTTTATTTTTATAAAATAAAAGCCTTTTATTTCATTTTTATTTTTAGTGATAACTTTTATCCGTTCTTATAAAATAAAAGCCTTTTATTTCATTTTCATTTTTAGTGATGACTTTTATCCATTTTTATAAAATAAAAGCCTTTTATTTATTTTAATTTCTAGTGATGACTTCTATCCGTTTTGATGCGCTTGGATAAACGTGTAATTTGATAGCCGTAGTAATTTTTTATGGAACGATAACTGCAACAATGTTAAAAGATTTGATGACTGTGTCTAATTGTGCCAGTCTTGTCTGTCTGACTCCGCCTTCCTTTCCCGCATGCTATTTCTTTAAAATGTTATTTCGGATAGAGCTACACATTATTATAGGAATATTAATAAATATTTTTTGGAAGTACTAGAGAATGTACCTTTCTCTTAAGATTGAATGCCTACTTTAGTAGTTTATTACAGCTTTAATTATAAAATAAATAGAAAAACAAGCTCTGCATTTTTAGCGAAAACGAGCAGCCCTCGAGATTGGATACCGTCACCGTATCCGTATAAATAAAATAGTCAGCCATTTCACGACACCACTTAAAGTTGCAAAGACTTGATCAAGACACAGAGTAACACTTGCTATTTCCCTTGTAAAATATTTAAACAAAAATTATACTAAAATTAAAAATTCGGAGCTGAGGCAGATTAAAAGAATGAAGTGCTTGACATGGCGATATAAAATCACGGCGATTATACAGCTGTGTGTTGGAGCCACTGTCTGATACTTGTTCTTATTAACATCTTATCAAGTTTGATTTAAAAAGAACTTTCCGCCGAAGATATAACAACATTAGGGACACTTATCGATTTTCCAGCATCACACCGCACAAAAATATTATTACAAAGCACAAAAAAAACAATTGCTTCCATATTATTCCAAATGAGAAGTAATCAATGCGATGACATACCGAGGCTCCATACATCACAGCGCGTAACACACATTTGTTACAATAAGTTAATTGCCCAAAAACATCATAGAAAATAAAAATTAATAATCCCAATTGCTTACCAAGGTTCCATACATCACAGCGCGTAACACACACTTGTTACAATAACTTAATGGCCCAAAACATCATACAAAATAAAAATTAATCAACATAATTGCTTACCAAGGCTCCATACATCACAGCGCGTAACACACATTTATTACAATAAGTTAATTGCCCAAAAACATCATAGAAAATAAAAAACAATCATCACAATTGCTTACCAAGACTCCAGACATCACAGCGGAGGTCGTAGTCGTAGGGCTTGTCGCTCCTGCAGGCGATGACCTCAGGCGCCACCCAGCACACAGAGCCCACGCAAGTGCTGCGGCGGGAGAGGGTGCTGTCTAGGTAACCCACCTGGCCTGTACAGGCGACGACTCCATCATTAGAAAATATTACTTCTCCTCAAAAAATAGATGTAAATAAATTCTTCGAAAACTTGCTATTAATTTGTTTATACAATTGAATATTAGTTTCTTTAATGTGTTCAATAATCGAATATATTATTGTATTATTATAAATTAGCGCCATTTGATTTAAAACAAATTGGTTATTAACAGATCAAATTTACTAATGTTCACAGGTTTGGCCCAAATTTCTATTAGTGAAAACGAAATGCAGTTCATACACCACGCGAGTAATAAAGCTGAAAGAGCAAACACTGGAATTTATCGTGAAGGAAAGTTGAACTCCAGTTTTCAAATTTAATCAGAGATTGACATGTTCAAAAAGTCTGCGGATATTACAACTAACATTTAGTTATCTCCATGGTCACAAAAATTAAATATATATTAAGATGAATCGCTCACTATCTCTATGTATAGATTTAAATATGAGTAAAGCCAGCTGAATAAATTTCGGAGCAGGAAACATTCAGCATGAAAACATTCATGACATTATGGAAAAACATCTATATAGTTATTTAAATTGGGATCTGCAAGAACGGCAAATACGGAGCATTTTAAACCGAACGACTCGAAACCTTACCTTAGACTTCAAAACTACAAATATAAATACCAATATATTGAACAATTTCCATATGTACGAATAATAAAAAATTAACTGTGAAGAACTGGATCGTCAATAAACGCACCGAAATCACAGATTTTTATGACCCCGGTCTCGGTGATGAGGAGATTATCACACTTAACGTCCCGGTGAACGCTGTGCTTGCTGTACATGTAGCACAGGCCCTGTGTGCAATAATAAAGACGTTACTATAATTACGGTGGAATTAAAATATGACGAAGTGTATGTCAATGAAGTTAAAATTAAGAAGCCAAATAACATTTAAATATGTATAAATTTAAGTTTATTCTTGGCAAACCGAATCTAAGTCAGGCACGAAATGAACTTCAACATGAATTTTTCACAGCTAATGCACACAAAAAATTTGCCTTCCTTTATAAAACGATAATAATAAAAACTAATTGAAAAGTCGTCAATAATATTGTATGTTTTGATATGCAATTTAATGAGTAACAAGCGAGCCTTAACATGCCTTGACAGCGGCGGCCAGGACGTAGGCTATCACGTCTTCTGGCAGCTTCTGGCAGCGACGCTGGCAACGTCTGCTCAGCTCTCCTACACTGCCGAGTTGTGCCAGCTGCACGTAAATATGAAGCTTGTCTAATTATTCTACTTAGTTAGTCATATAGATAATGAGTTATATTTTTCTAAAGACAAGCTTCTGAGTAAATATGGCTCAATTTTATCTTCAACGTCGTTCGTTACCTGCAATTCAATAGATAACAAATACGATTTCTTCGGAAATTCATTTCAGAGCCAACTTCAATGTCAGAATCAATAATTTATCATAAGTTAGGATAAACATTTGTATTTCTTTCAGCCAGTGCAGGATAGGACATATATAAAATAACTAATTAACGATGGCTGAATTACTCATCGTTCATGTTAATAGCGAATTTATTATTCGAACAAATTCGTGCGAGAGCTCATACCTTCATGGCGAACTTTCGGCCAGTGCATGATAGGATATATACAAAAAACTCATTAACGATGGCTGAATTCCTCATCGTTCATGTTAATAGCGAATTTATTATTCGAGCAAATTCGTGCGATGTCTACCCACACGTCTACACCAGCCCCTGGTCTACCCACACGTCTACACCAGCCCCTGGTCTACCCACACTTCCAGCGGTCCGTGGCCTCGTAGACCGCCCCATAGGCGCCCTCAGCTAGCAGACCCTCCAGCATGAACTTCTCGGCAGGGTCTGGCAGGGCGCTCAGCTCGAGCACGTCGCTCAAGCCGTCGTACTCCATTCCGGCGACTGCCGTGGCCTAATATTAGGCCGCGAACATATAATGATGTTCATTAGTCATTAATTACCGTATAATGATATTCATTGAAGCGGATGTAATGATTGAACATAACAAAATATTAATATACATTTTGGATCGGCCTACCTGTAAATTTTGTAAAAATTGAGTGACAAATGAAATAAATGTAGTATAAACTTTATATAAAAACAGACAACGTGCACGTTAGCAAACTTGGGGACAGCTTCAAAAGTTAACGAATTCACGGTATTTTTTTTTAAACTGCAATTCTAGTCATTGCCCATGAAAATATTTCGAAAGGCTAAATATGTACCAGAAAATAATTCTCACCGAATTAGTAGATCAACGTTGGTGACGTATCCAATTCGGCGCTCTCCTTCAACACGCTCGCCAGATAAATCCCTTTGCAAGGAACGATTGACTTACTAAATCACAGCATATTAACATCCCAGCACAATTTTGAGGCGCCAACAATTGCGTTCTCAAGAATTTTGAGCATAATTCTACTCCTCGTAAGTGGTCTTTTAATTTGAGGCACTACGGGTCGTTTATAAATGTCTTTTTGTTAGGTTGTCTATTTAAATGACATCACTGCGTCAATAACAAGGTTGTCCTGCCTACAGGAAGAAGCCTAGTTCCTGCGAAGAGCGACGCGCTGTCTTACAGGTCGGCCGCGATCGCAACTGCGCGAGAGCGACGGCGACAGAGGCAGCCGTAAGCGGCTTACGAGGAAGCTCTACAAAAGCTTCAGCTGCAACAAGGCTTCCTACTCTGAGATGTACGAGGTTTGGCTCAGTGGCCCATCGAAAAGACCGATAAAAGTATCAATGTCTTCACTCGCCCTCCCATTCTCTCATGTGTTAGGTAAATTGCAGATTTTCCAACAGTACGCATCTTTCAACTTGTAAAATTTCATCAACCAACAAAAGTAGAAATTTGTACGGCAATTAAGTTCATGCTTTTAAAAACCGTTACCAATGAATGAAACAAAACGCTTAATTCACTTGGTTAGTCAAGTTTTTTTTTAATTGGAACCACACGTTTGTTGAAAAAGGATTCACAAGTTTCTTTCAGATAAATGAAAAATTATTTAATATCAAATTTCACTAGCAATTGCAATCAACATGCTAACATGGGCACGATCTTATCAATATTGAAATTAGAAAGTATCACAACTTTAATCTTTTCTGATATTTAAGTGAAAAAATATCCGGTTGGTTCAGGGCAGCCAGCAAGGATATCTAGGACATGGAAGCCAGTTTAATAATACTTTTTTATTTAGTAAATTTCATCTAGTGTTTAGTAACAAAACTCATCAACGATTATAAATTTCAAATATTGTTGGTGAGATAAGTGTCTGAGGAGGGCTGGCAATAACTAATATTTATCGCATCATCAAATGAATATGACATAAATTAAAAGCTTACTCCAACACCGTTTTTTTTTTCAATACAAGGATGAAGCTTATATTAGATTTAGAGTATACTTATTCTATCGGTATCGTAATGGTGTTTGTTGCACCGTTACAGATATCGTCAGAACAACTTCATCTCTAAGAACCTGGTAGAAAAACACTGTAAGAGATGTCATCTATGAACAGAATATTTTTTCCTACAGACTTAAATAATTATTGAATAATATTTTAGCATTTTTTTACACTACAACTTTTTTTGGACTTGAATCAACATAGAAAAAGTAGTAGTCTGGTAGAAGATAAAGTGTGACCAATACCAATTCTTAAATTATGTTTGATCCAACAATCAATGTTTTATCAAGAGACAGCAGGTGTCTCTGTCACGGAGCTGGCAGTGCTGTCCTTGATGTTGTCAGCGTCTGGCAGTACCAGCACTGACGCGCTGTCATCAGTCAGAGTCAGCACAGGGGGGTCTCCTGAAGATGCTGAGGCTTCCTCAGCTGCAGTCTTGTTCTGACACATCAGGCTCAGGGTTACATCTTCATCGCAAGACAGTCAAATTTCAGAGGCTTTTCTGACCCCTACCTTTTATTGATAATAAAGTCGGCATATTTGATAAAACTCAAATAACTGAATAATTGTTCCATATGAACAGAATTTTTTTGCATGGATATTTTGGTGATCGTACACAAAATAATGAATTTAATAATGTGGCATTTCAATTAGTACATAGGTACACAAAAACTGAAGTGCATCCATTGATGCCATACCATTGACATGGCATGCCAGCCAATGTCATGGAGTAAAAATGGAAACTATTATTATTTGTACATGTACAATACTTTTAAGTGAGCTTCCATAAATAATTGACAACAAAAGAAATCAAGATTTTGAAAAAAGCAACAATTATGCAGAAGCTGATTCAAACAATATATACCTAGGTACCATAGATACTTTTTGAATTGATGAAAAATTCAGTCGCTCAACATTTTTTCTCATTTATTAATGATCATGTAAAAAATAGGTCACAACTGAGAAGGAAAAAATCATCATATTACTTTAAATTTCAATGAAAGAGAATGAGATGAAAGTTAAAATTTCAAGGGTGAATATACTTTACCAACACACATACTATACTTCACCTTAATAGAAATATAGATATTTATTTTAAAAATTATTTTTTAATCTCAATGTGGACTGTACAATTAGCTTTTGGTAGCAGTCATTCTTCAAATTAGATGTTTATTTACATACTGGTACATGATTAAATGTAAACATTATTTGAATAGACTATTCAATAATTCATCTAAAAATGTGAAACTTTCTTCTAACAAGTTGACTGAATTCTTTATATCCAGTTAATAGAAAGAAATAGAGTTAAAATTGTGAGATTTCATTCCATGAAGATAAAGAGGATGAAAATATGACTCAGCAAAATGAAACAATAGTTTATTGACAAACAAAATGAAACTTACACTCAATGTAAGAAATGAACATCAGAAATTGAGCACTCAAAAGATGTGGATCAGGTACCGTAATTCTCCAACGTGACACTAGTTGTGATCATGGTGGAATGATTGGAGAATAAGTGATTCATTTTCAAAATTTACAACAAATTATAAATCTTCAAATTTTTATGCTAATTAATTACCAATTGATCAGGTGGAGGGACAGGCGTGTGATAGAGGCAGGTTGGCAGATGAGGAAGAGGAATGATGGGTGAGACACAGGGCTCACTGCCACCCTCCACAACCCCGCACACCCTGTACAGCTGCTGATGGGGATCTTCCAGTATATGCTTGACACAATATTTTGCCAGTGGTATGGCAGGGTCGCCACATTTCCATGATCCTTGACTATAGAGACAACAGTGCTTGTTGCTTTTAGTGCTACTGCTGCCGCGATCCTTACTAATTGTAGCAGCAGACTCGGAATTATTTGCAAGTTTGCTAGCACGTTTTTCCAAATATGCAGCTCTTAGAAGTGCTTGCCTGCCATGATGACGCCGATATCCCCGCAAAGCTTTGAGTTGAGTATAAATTTGTTGCTCTTCAACTGTGTCCTTTGGCTGACTGTGAATTCTTGTAAGGCTTTGATGCTCAGCGGCCACTTCCTCCAAATACTGTTGTCGGTTTTCTCTCAGTTCCTGATGTAGGTAGCTAAACTCATCCAAGTAGGCACTCTGTAAGAAAAATATATGCAACAATTTGTTTACAATGAGAACAATTCTCAATTAGATATCATCATAACTTTGAAAATGTATGATATATCAGCTGAATCTGCTTTCATACAAGTTTGAGGGTTTGTAGATAAATTTAACTTCACCATACTTTGAGCTTGTTGAGGTGAGCTAGGTGAACTTTTACAGTTTCCACATCAGTCCAGATGCCTGCTGACTGTAGTGTTTCCAAGTCACTGTCTCCACCACTCTCCACATCACTGTCCCCACCCAATAGTTTGTCTTTGCTGTATTGAGATAGCAATTCCTCATCTTCATCATTTTGATTCTCCACACTGAAGCAGTGTACATCTGGAGTGTTGCGCCAAGCAACTTTGTTTGCATCAGGAGTTTCTGCAAGATATTATACAAAATGAAAATTAGGCTGATTCAGTTGAATGTGAAATTTGGGTTAATTGATTGTTTATATCACAATTAAATACAACTCAATTTGTCTTAAAGAATTTATGTAGGTTAAAAAATTGCAAAATTATTGTCCCTCTTGGCAAAATTTTCTTTTTTTTACTCTATCTCACAAGAATGCAGTCAAGATTCTTATGTTGCCTATTTTTGTTGAATTTTACCTACTGCAGCTCAATTGTAGTTTCATTATCAACAATTTGAAGCAATAATTTTCTAGGCATAAATGAGAGGAAAGCATATAACATTCCAACCTGTGATTGATGAAAGAAACACATCTAAATAATAGGTATAATGTGGCTAGGGTAAACGCACCATTTTCCGACATCATGGGTAGGTAATGTAATTCCAACACTTCTCAACTTATTCTTTTATATTAAGCTTTGTCTTACTTCCACACATGCGTAGATGGTTGAAATAGTGACGTCATACTATTATTGCGTGCCAGATTCCGTCAAAACACTAGGTCTGGCGGGAAAATGTTAAGATCCTCAGAGCAAAAGTCCAAGTCAACTAGTGAGAACATTGAAACATGTGTCAAAGTTGATAGTTGACCTTGCTCTACCAAATAGTGATAAACTGTTTGTGTAGAAAGAATATTATGGTTTGAGACTTTTGAATAAGTCTGTGAATATAACTATTAGGAATTCTTTAAGTATACTTGTATTTGCTGATTTTAAGTGGTAAATAAATTATTAGATGATTAAGTTAAGAGACAGTTTTAGATACATAAAAACTAATTCCAACACAGCTTCTAATTGGACACACACAGCTCATTCCCAGCTGTGTTCAAAAATTAAAATTTTCTTAATTAAAAGCTTAATAGCTCTTAATTAAAATCCTGATTAAAAAGTTAAAAATTTTTATTCAAGCTTGTTCCGAGCTGTGTTGTATTCCGATACAGCTCACACAGGGCGTCGGAATTCCAACACAGGGCGCAGGAATTACGAATTAGTACGAGTTTGAAGCGCTGTTGGAATTAGTCTCACAATATGTCAAATTTAGTCACACACAGCGTCAGAAATCAGGGATTTTGTAGATTTGAAGTCTAAAGGCTTTTAAATAAATATGGCAACAGTTTGTCACATTTCATTGTTGCTGGCATGTAGTGTGGTGTTTTGAGAGTGACATAAAGCAATCAGAACTTGAATTGCGCATACAGTGATCTTCTTACAGCTGTGTCGGAATTTGGTGTCATTGGTGTGTTTACCCTAATACAGCCTACAGGCAACACAGACTGTTATGTATTGTACAATGCAATGTCTGCAGACTGCAAAGAAAAATTCATAATCTTTGATTGTTCAAATTATTTTCTGAAAGTATAAGATAAGACCAGATAAATATAATCATGACATTTTTTTATCAGTTATAACACTTTTATATAAATTGCTGATTGCAAAGCAAGGTCTTTTTCATCAAGAACTTATACTTAAGATATCCATATCTTTTTACGTTTTGCATCAATACAACCTTAAAATTGAAATCTATATACAACAGCAGTCAGCAGGTCTGATCACTATCAATTTATTAAAAGATATAGCATATTTATGCACATTACATTTTACATACATTTTAAAACATTATAAACATGAAGTCTTAATATTTTCAGGCATTTAATGACATAAAACTTTACTTGAAATCCCATGACTTTCCAGGTCTGGAAAATAGAAAATCAAATTCCATGACTTTCCAGATTTTCCATGACCGGTACATACCCTGAATGAACGAATTCTAAAAAATTTCTGATACTAATAGTCAACTTATTAATGATTCACTCATTTCACTGAGCTCTGGAGCTCTGCCACTCTGTTTATTTAGGTATTCCAACATACTTTAGAGTTTAGTGAATAGATGGAGAGACGAGAGAGCACTGTAACTACAATTTAATGATTCCTAAAAAGGCTAAAATTAATGCATAATGGTAAGAGTTAACTCTTCACAATCACAATACTAAACATTTTACCTTTTTCTAAAACTAAAAGTAGCCTACTCACGTATAAGTGAATTTCCCGACTGAGTCACAGATTCATGATGTGATAAACGTTCTAATAAGGTGAGAGCATTCTCTTTATGTATCTTAAAGTTCTTAGTTCCATTATTCATTTCGGTATTAATGAAGTTAACCGTACATTAAATTTGAAGCTCTAAAATATACAAAAATCAACCATTCACAACCACGGATGTGACGGTACCACCTCCATCCAAAGTTTGTTTTGATTTTACAAGTGGCTTCTATATGGTTCAAGTTGCTGCGCAGATTCGGGCTGTCGCCAGTGCGTACATGTGGTCAGTAAAGGCATGATCATGATGATGATCAAGGTTTTATACACAAACAAATTACCTAAAAAAGTTATTGCATCAGACGATCAGTTTGATTTGAGTGATGATAACGCATAAAAAGATTTCATATATCTGATCGTTTCTGGAAAGCTTTTTAGTCATGTATGGAAAAATATTGAATAAGTTGGTAAACAAATAAATTCATATTTTATAATAGATATCCTTATATAAATTCAATTTTTATAATCATCCATTTTTCGTAATTGCACAGCCTGTAGGCTGTTGGCGGTGGGTAGGTACTAAATTACTGTCTGCCTTTGCCACTGGGTTGACGAAATGAAAAGAGGAAGCACAGTGGATCGTGCCCCAAACTCCAAAGTGAATTAAGTGACGGTGATTCAGTGACCAAACCAACTAGCTAATTTAAGATGCATAAATGTACAATTTTCTGTGCGTGAACTTTTGGGGGGAGGGAACTATGATGCTGATGTACAAAGGAAAATCTTTCAATTTTTGATTGTATACATTTTGAAGTCAGGTAGACTTAGAGTTAGCAAACTTTAGACAGGTGACCAAAATGGAAATGTTGCTTACATGTATGTATAAGTGTGTATGTGGGTGTAGTATATATTTATATGTACGTATGTATGTTCATTCATGTACATATACACATGCATCACCCGAATTATCTTACCTTCTTGTATTAGTTTACCCAATTTAACTATCATTTATTATGCCAAGTTCTATAAGCAATGACCCTTGCTTTCTGATATTTTTTTCATGTTATGTGTAACTTTTCTCTTACACGCTGTCATGCCAAAGCAGCCAAACCATCACACCCACTGACATTTTATAAGCAAGAACAAAGTGGATTGACTTCCATGGCCCATGCCAAGACAAGAGGTCCAAAACTGCAGAGTGCAGAAGCTCTCAGGCCCCATGGTCATCCTTGCGGTTGTCCTGTGGCTTTAAGTCCACCCAGCGTGGACACCCGGAAAAGAAGAAGAAACCCACTAGCTAGATTAGATCGTGCACCCGGGGTGCACGATCTGATATGTGGGGTGCACGATCTAATTCTTCCCAATTTCCCATATGGGGGGGGGGCAGCACCCCCTCCCCCCATAATAGGTCCATATGGGAAGTTGGTCGTTGGAAGCTCTTAACTTGAAGTTGACACTTGAGCTGCTGAAATGTCAACTTGACACACTTGATCTTGCTCAAACCATCAAGTTGAGCAAGATCATCCATCCTTCAAATTCAATTACAAAATTACCTACCAGCTTGAAAATTTGAATTCCAAGTAATTTTTTTCACACATTTTTCTGTGTTTACTGAGTTGGGTTAGTCACCGTTAGTGGCAAAGCAGTGAGTTTTTTCGACTCTCCCTCAGGCCGAGCTCAAGTTCATTTTTAAGTCCTATATGTAGACCAGTAAAGTAGGCTATCCTGGACCTGGATACCTGCATTATCATACATAAGAAATTGGTTTAAATCAGGATTAAATGAGAAAATTAAAAATGAATGATTCTAAAAAATCTGTGGTTTGTGACTATGCATGATGACTCATGCCATGCAGAGAAAAAATGTGTCAAAAAATGAGCCACTCATGCGTCACGTAGCATGAGTTGCTCACTGACTTTGAGTCTCTGGCTCTGACTTAGTGATCTCTGTCACTTTTGTCATACGTTATAATAATGATTTTGTTGTTGTTGTTCGCCCTCCCCGTCCCACGACAAATGCGGGACGGGGCCTACACCCATTCCTGCGGCCAGCCCAACCTCTCTCCCCAGCGCGCCAGCAGGGCAGCAGCCCTGCCGCCTCAATGGGAGAGCTCCACAAAACCAGGGGCGACAAGGGCATGACCAGCTCCAGCAGCCAAACAGGTGGTTGGTGTTGTGTTCATGTCTATGACAGAGTGGACAAAGAGGGGACAGATGTGTGACTGGATCTATCTTGTGTAGGTATTGGTGTAGTAGCCTAGTAGTAGTAGGGGGGTCTTGTTTGTACGGAGATTGGAGTTGTGTTAGTGCTCGGCGTGTGTGTCTGGGTAATTGGCAAATTGGGTTTCTGAAGGGTCTATGGCCGGAGCTGGTGCCAAAAGTACAGCATTATTTGGTAGGTTGTCTATGTAGTTAGTTGTGATTGTAGTGTGTATTTGTTTCTTGTGAAGTTGTGTCTGTTTAGTGTATCTGTTGTGGCTTGATCTGGTTCTATGAGTATGTTAGTGGGTAGTTTCTATTTATGAAAACTGTTTGTTTCATGAGTCTGGGTGGGTTGTAAGGTTGAGTATGAGTGTGAAGTGGGTGGGTCGGTGCTTGAGCTTTTAGTCTTAGTTGGGATGTGTGGAGTCTAAGGTGCTGGTCTATTGGCAGCATTTTTGTTTCTGTGTGTAGGTGACTTTGGTTAGTATCAGCTGTACAACCTGTTGCAATGCAGAGTGCTGTGTTTTGGATTGTTTGTAGTTTGTTTGTGTGAGTTTGTGCTAGGTTGGGGGACCAGATGTTGCTGCCATACTCTATTATAGGTTGTGGTATAGTTTTGTAGGTGGTGAGTAGGACTTCTTTTTGTTTTCCCCAGTTTGTTGATGTGAGAGATTTTAGAATTTTTATTATTTTAGGTGCTTTGTCTTGTGTGTTATGGATGTGGGTATTGAAGTTTAGTTTTGGGTCAAATGTGATTCCTAGTATTTTTGGGTGTGTAATGGTAGGAATTGTGTTATTGTCTATGGTGAGGTTTAGTATTTTCCATGTATTCAGCAGGTTCAGGTGTGAAAAGTGTGGCTGTGATTTTGGATGCATTTAGTTGGAGGTTGTTTCTGATAGTCCAGTCGTGTATCTGTTGTAGGAATGGTATACGCTGTTCTGCAATCTTGTAGTTGTGATATCATGAGAAAATAGTGATGTCGTCTGCATAGACAAACATGTGCACATCCGTGGCTGCCTGGCCATAAGCCACTAGTGGCCAAAGTCAGAGTGGAAAATTGGACAGAAGCCACCTGTAAATTGCATAAAAAAGTAAAAAACACATGTGAATCTAGCTAATTTTTTTCCTCTCATTGCCTTTTTCCATTTCCTACAATGACAAATAAGAAAAATTGTGCTATACCTGCTAGTTTTTAAATCACCCAATTAATTATTATTTTGCCTCTGATTCGACAAACTTCTGCTACTGCCAGATAATACAAATTTGCAACCTGATAACATGATCAGTTCATGCATATGTCTCTGCTATAGCCCACATTTAGGCTGACAACCATTTGAATTAGTATAGATAGTACCTGCATCGTTATTCTGAAAAATTAGGAAAAATCCTTATGAATGAGACAAAAAAGCCTATGCTTGAAGCAAATTTCCAATGATTTGAAGGCCCCTTGCCTAATCTTTTTAAAAACAAAACGGGGAAAATGTCATATTGTTGCCTGCACTTTCTTCATTAAATTTCCCTGAAATAAATAGGCTTGAGCTACAGGCTACAACTTTTTGAAAATCCTCCTGATGATACAAATTAGCTGCTTTCATAGATTCATTATAATCCATACCAGGTCCACATTGATAATTCACCATTGCCTTGTGTCAAGTTGTGTGGCTCCAAACTCCTAAGTCATGTATTTTGGTAGATCAAAAATATCACAATTTAAGAATTGTCAATTCATGATATTTTAAATTTTTGCACTTCAGTACCCTGCTCTTGCCAAAATATTCTGTACAATAACTGCACCTAAAATGTTATGTTCATGATCATGTTGTTGTGTTAATGTTACTGATGTCAGACTGTATTATATACAACTTAAATCTTAATTGTTTGACCAAAATTTTAAAATATGTCAATGGATTCTCAAGTGGAGACAAATATTCTTGTTGGCATGTCTAAGGTAAAGTTATAGATTTGGCATAGATATGTGCAAAACTTGGTAAATGAGTTTGCAGTTTGGCAAATGAGTTTGTGCATCGAAAATGGCTTTCCACAGCTTGACAAGGGAGTCACAGCTTATAAATTCATGAATTCATGGCTCCAAAATCCAGTGATGGCTTGGAAAGAAGACCTTCTCCTTTGTGAAGTTATGACATTGAGTACCTATTGTTCAGTGATGTCATTGCTGCCACTTTATTAAACCTGCTCAAAATCATCACAGCTGATACCAAAACATGTATACTATAACTAAAAATTGAATCAGAAACTCTTTCAGTAGGCTGCATGACTACCAGGTCAATATATATCTCTAGCTAATGGAGAATATATAGTAACTTCTAGCACTAACTTATGTTTCAGTAGTATGCATCATTTGGCTGTGGTCAAAATTTACAAAGCATCATGTATTAATAATTTTTTTCTACAACAGCCTGATACAGATATAGTATATATACTACATAATTAAGCTTGAATTAATTTCGTCTTTCCATTGCTCTTGGTTATTCAGTCTCATGCTATCATCAAGTCCAGAATTGACTAATAAATAGGAGTTATGATGGAAGTTAGATTGGTCTATTTCTTTTCATTATTCTTAGTGTTCTGCAGTCATGGATATGCATTTGGTAAGTAGTTACTGGTGACATTCATGTAAATATTTGGCTGTCAATTTTTTTAATTCATTAGTTTGTAGATCATATCTCAATTTTTGAAGTATTGAAAATAAATTGTCATAAATCAGTAGAAATGAGTTGTACAAAATTATTGAATATCATACAAGCAATAGTGGTAGTGGTATGGCTCAGGTTTACTGCTGTAATTAGACCCTAGAGCCAATTTAATTACATGTGAGATGGCATATATAGTAAAAAAAAACCTAGATTCTCCACACAAGAATTTTTAATTTCTCTGAAATAGTTTCCAATTGTAATGTATGTGTAAAAACTTCAGTTTTGTAGACTTTGGATTGAGCACAATTTTTTTTACAAAAAAATGGCATGTACCCTTTCATATTATACTATCTTTATTATTTTTGTTTCGCTCAAAACTAATATAATGCTTCATTTACAGGCTGGTCTAGCTATTCCCATCCCAATCTCCGCTACTACGAAACCATCAATGCTGCTCAGTTAAGGAACACGCATAAAATTGTGAAGAGAGGCGTCAACTTCAGTGCCAACAAACTCAACTCCATTAAAGAGGTGCTTATCCACTTTTTTTTTCAAACCATAATAATGGTTGCATTATCTCTTTAAATATTGTGAGCTCATTTGTTATCTATGTGTATATATGTATAATTAGGTATAAGTTGAATGTTCAATATCCCAAAAATTGTAAACTATAATATAATGTCACATGTAAACCTCATATTTGAAATTTCAAGCCCTACCAGAAGCCTAATTTAGGTACTGAATTGAGAAAATTGCTACAAAAATTGTTACTAATTTAAAAAATATATACCGGTATATACTCTCTGACCTTCAAAGAAACTTGCATTTATGTGCATATGTATACGGTATACTTTGAATACTTATGCCACAAAAATTTAGATTCACTCTAAACTGTCTGTTGCATCTTTATTTGTCAATTGTTTCCTAATTTTTATGATTTTGTTTATTGCTTGTCAAATAATTTGGCATCTCAAAATGAGTTTTTAATTTCATTAATGTCATCAGCTCGGCTTTTGGTAATGGTTGAAATGCAATTTTAAAAAGTTTTTCTTAGCTTAGCTTTGCATTTGTTTGTTTGTTGTTAAAATTGACAACGAAAATTAGCCCACTTCTGATTGCTCTAGAGATCTGAAATTCGGCATGCAGGCTATTTTCGCCTAACAATTTCAGATACAATCATAAAAACTTGCAATTAGAGACCTAAATTAGCTTAAATGAGTAAAGTATATTTAAATAGTATATATATATAGTATGACGTGCGGGCGCTGACGTTATAGAAGAGCAGGCGCTGACGCTGCGTATCATCGATACGTACGTCAAGGCAAGTAAATTGGCTCGCAACAACGTTTTTCATGTGTAGCAACGGACTAAAAAGGAGAAAATAAAATACTTTAAGTTTTTTTAAGTATTTTATTTTAGTTTTAAACTCCTTGTACATTTCTCATATTTGGCTTCTCAATTGTCCTATAATTTACATTGCTTATTCTAACAATGTTTCATTTCTATTTCAGCTGGAATTTAACGCGTTTGGACGTCAGTTCCGATTGGTGCTGAACAGAAGGAGCGGGCTGCTGGGCCCACACTTCAATGCATATGCTGTAGACGGTAATGGCGTCGAGAAGCGTATTGATATTGGTGAGTTGTGTTGCTGTTAACATTAGTAAATATCTGGTGTTCTTCAACTACTGTATTACGAGATTTTCCATGTTTATTTTGACGCTAATGACCATGTTTATGTTAACGATCCCAAAATAATGTACATTCTGACGAACAGTCCAGATCACTGTGGTTATTGTATGTGATACATGTTTTCAGCTGGAGATAAGGTTTCTATTCAATCCATACAATTGAAAGAAATAATTAGAACAGAACAGTAAAGAATTACAGGAATTTCATCCCATATCTCGGTTATGCAAAATAAGCTTTTAAACATTCAAACTTCTCTTTAGCTATTTCTACAGCTTGCCGATTCTTAGCTGCCCACTTATGTCTTGATTTCAATTACAGATCACGATGGGTTCCTCGAAGGGCGCGTCTATGGCGAGCAGTCGTCTGAAGTGACGGCTCATTTGGAAGATGGCCGACTCACGGCCACCATCCACACCCCTGACGAGTCATACCACATTGAGGTTCGCCATGTACCTCAAAAATTAATTTGTATAAATTTTTGCATTAGTTTTAGTGGAGTTTATCCTTAAAATAATAGAGAAGGTATTCCTCTCCTCTGTTGCTACCGAAGTTGCCTGATGTTAAACTTTGATACTTAAGTGATAAATGGGAATACTTAGCAATGTTTTCTATTTTTGACATAGCCTCAATTACTAGGAGAGCTCATGATTAGTCTGTGTTATGTTTCTCCAGTGAGGTGCCGGGGGCTTGACTTGTGTTGCATGAGCCAGATGGTCTGCATTCCTGACTTCCTCTCAAAATTGTGTCAAAGGATTTTTTTATTTAGCTTCCAATTTTAATTACATGGATGTTGTTTATAAAATAATGTGCTTGAATAGGAATCAACCATGTCAAAATTTTTATTCTAAATAATTAATATGTATATGTTGTTCACATATAAATTAAATATTATATTATATTTTTTTATATTAAACGAATCGTATAATTATTTCAACAATGTTTACTCAGTTTCATACAATCGATAACATGTAGCATTCAGAAGTGTTATCACCTGATCTTCATAATAGATATATCCCTACTAATTAGCTTTTTATATCCTCTGTTGCTACCGAAGTTGCCTGATGTTAAACTTTGATACTTAAGTGATAAATGGGAATACTTAGCAATGTTTTCTATTTTTGACATAGCCTCGAGTACTAGGAGAGCTCATGATTGTTCTGTGTTATGTTTCTCAAGTGAGGTGCCGGTTGCTTGACTTGTGTAGCAGGAGCTAGATAGTCTGCATTCCTTGCTTCCTCTCAAAATTGTATCAAAAAATTTTCTTATTTAGCTTTATTTTAATTACATGGATGTTGGTTTATAAAATAAAGTGTTTGAACAGGAATCAATCAATTCAAAATTTGTATTCTAAATAATTAAAATGTATGTTGTTTACCTAGTTTAAATAGGTAAATAAAATAGCATATTGGGTTTATCTTGTTAAAAAATCATTCCTATAATTATTTCTGCAATTTTTACTCATTTATCATTCAAGATTGGTCACTTAGATATCAAGAGGTCATTTATTATTCAATTTTACTGTCATTGCTGTTTTTTTTTGCAGTTTTTCTCATTTATTTATTATGAATATCTGCATACCACTGTGTGCTTACCGTTATGGGCCGTTTTTTACGTTTTACTTATGCCAACAGTTCCAAAAATAGCTGATTTTGAATAAAAAAAAAATATTGTGTTAAAGAACGAGTTCCTAGCATTGATTGCTAGAGTTAGGTTAATTTTGAGCTTGAATCATATTAAAAAAAATCACGGAATGCCCAATCTGCCAGTGCGAGGAGTTGTGTTTCAAATAGAAGAAACTTATTTCTGATAATTAATGGATTTTTGTTTTTTGCCCTTCCATGTGCTTTTTATTGGCACCCTGCTTATAATTTCCATCGTTACAGCCATCGTGGCGACACATCCCGAACGCGGACCCGGACGACCTCATCGTGTACCGCGCGTCGGACGTGTTGCACTCCTGGGACGATCCTGAAGTGGTGGGACGCAAGCAAAAGCTCATGGATTACATCAAAGAGGGCAATGAAACAACAGGTTAGTTCTGAGACTACAACAATAGCTTATGAATACAATGAAGCCATTGGTGTAATTTAGACTGTATTCATAAGCTATCAAGTTAATGTGAATGGTGTTATTAGTTTGAGAAATATAATTTTTTGGATCAGGAATTTCCGTCCGAGTAGAATGTGTGCCTATAGTGATCTACTTGGGTACATAATGTGTTATGTTGTGATATGACATGAACGTTTATGTATTTGATCACTGCTTGTAAACTTGTTGAATCGAATAAAACGGTAAGTAGCGTTCATTTTTAGTGTGCAATGAGCTTGGATACAGTCAAGTTAAGTAGTGTTAAAATGTGCATGAGTGCTCTTGCAAAACTGATTAGACAAAGATGTATGTCATTAAGCACAGCCTTCTGCCTGGGATTAAGCTGGAATTAATTAATCTTCAGATGCCGATGATGAATGGGAGAGCGTGGACGAAAGTTCCTTTGACCATCAGTGGACACCATCCTTCAACAACGCTTCCCTGGATGGCCCCCACAGGAGGGTGAAGCGCCAGCAGGCCGAGGCTTATAACTTCAATGGCGACAAGACGAGGTGTCCTCTCCTGCTTGTGGCTGACTACAGGTTCTTCAAGGAAATGGGCGGTTCAAACTACAAAAGCACCGTCAACTATCTCGTGAGCACCACAGTCTGGCTTATTATCTACGTTATTCTATGTACTGTTCTAATTCTATACTTCGTTGATAGATATTGTCATGCTGAAGGAGACTTATCAGATCAATGAGAGTATTAGAATAGCACTGGTCATTAGACTATTGAAGCCTACAACATTAAATAAATTTACTAAAGCTGTATGTTTGTAATTCTCAGAGTGTCTGTACTGTCTTAACTATAATCTATTATATTCACGTGAATTTTATCTTCAGATCAGCCTGATCGACAGAGTGGACAAGATATACGAGAACACGGAGTGGCGAGACCAGAGCGACAACGGCGGCTTCCGCGGCATGGGCTTCGTCATCAAGAAGATCTTGGTGCACCAGGAGTGGACGCCCGTGTCCAGCACGCAGGTCCACTACAACATGCAGAAGGACAGCTGGGACGTCAGGAATCTTCTTGAGGTTAGTAAACTTTAGGTGGATGAGAAGGAATTTTTTGTCTTGATGTTCTTTGTTTAAGAAAGTCTGCTGAGACGTCATGAACATTCTTGAGGTAAGCAATCGTGTGATGATTGAGAAAACATTTCAAACGTCAGTGAAATAGTTTTTTCTGTCTAAGAAATTCAGCTGTGACGACAGGAACCTTCTTAAGGTAAGCACTAAGCAATCGTTATGTGGTTGTGAAAAAATTATTAGTGTGAATGTAACTTGGTTTCTGTTGAGTTCCTCACTTGAAAATAAAAATGTGGTTAGCCGGCTAGACGTTTGCAGAAAGTTTCACTGCCCAAAACTCCTTTAAACTGAAAAATTAAATTCCTATAATGAGGATTTTCCTTATTCTATTTTTTGCAAGTTCTGTTCATGAGCTTATGAGACAGGTTCAGGTGTGGTTAATTATAGATGAATCGTATGACAGGTGTTCAGCAGAGAGTACAGCCACAAGGACTACTGCTTGGCTCATCTCTTCACTGACATCAAGTTCGAGGGCGGCATCTTGGGCCTCGCTTACGTTGGTTCTCCCAGACGGAACTCCGTTGGCGGCATCTGCACTCCTGGTAGGTGCCGTCTTTGTTGACGCGTTTTTTTATTTGTAACTAATTTATAGCACCTCCATATGCTTTGCTGTGTATAAGGTACCTACTCTTATTTGAACCACTGCTATAATATATGGGACCAAGAATATGGCATAACAGCATAGAATGAGAAACAACAAAGCTTAATATAACTAATTTTCCCTGAGAATATTCCTGGTACTGAAGACTTTGCCTATTACATTTTAAGATTGTATTAATTATATATGATAAATGATCCTTACTATGCAATTATTTCCGTCACTGCAGAATACTTCAAGAACGGCCATACATTGTACCTGAACTCGGGTCTGAGCTCCTCCCGCAACCACTACGGACAGCGCGTGATAACGCGTGAGGCTGACCTCGTCACGGCGCACGAGTTCGGCCACAACTGGGGCAGCGAGCATGACCCTGACCGTCCTGAGTGCAGCCCTGGTGCCAGCCAGGGCGGGTCTTACCTCATGTACACTTTTTCACAGAAATTCTCGCCCTGTAGTCTGCGTGCGATCCGGTCAGTTTTAGTGGCGAAGTCTTCACGATGTTTCACGGAGCCCGAGGAATCTTACTGTGGCAACCAGCGCGTCGAGGGACAAGAAGAATGTGACGCGGGACTCGTGGGACAAGACGACGTCGACGCCTGCTGTGACAAGCACTGCCAGCTGCGCACCACAGGCGCCAAGTGTTCGGACAAGAACTCGCCTTGCTGTCAGAACTGCCAATACATGAACATGAACGTCAAATGTCGTGAGGCTCAGCGTGCCACATGTGAGAAGGTGTCGCGCTGCACAGGCACTAGTGCTACCTGCCCCAAGGCGGAGAGTATGCCTGATGGCACGCCATGCATCGAGAAGGGCGAGTGCAAGGATGGCAAATGTCTGCCGTACTGCGAGGTGCAGCACATGCAGAGCTGCATGTGTGATACAAGTGAGTTACACTGCTATTTATGATCTATGTTAGTTAATATTTATAAATGCAATTACTGTATTAGCGTATTTTTTTGTAGGTAAAGGTAGTTTGTTTGTAGTTTACTAGACCCTTGCAGCTTCATTGTAATCCTCCAAGCAGGTTCTCTAGTGATATTATATACCTTTCCTAATTTCTAAACAAAATGGCTAATTGAAGTAAATTGACCAATCACTGGAATGGTAAATTCCTCAGAGCTCCGATACCGTTAATTTAAGTGAATTTAAGATAACAGGAAGATAAGGAACGTAAAAGCGTGCGAGCTGGCATTAAGAAGTTTATATCATCAATATTCACATGAAGTCATACCTGTGAATGTGAATAATCTATCCTCAAGTTTGAAAGGAATACAAAATGTGTTCGCAGTTGAGAACGCTTGCAAGCGCTGCTGTCGTAAGAACCTCAACGACACCTGCTTCCCCATCAAGCCTGTGGACATCCTGCCCAGTGGCACTCCTTGCATCCACGGCTTCTGTAACGAGGTAGGATGGATGTGCTTGAATTTACTTTCCAAGAGTACGATATCAAATATCAAGTTATAAGAGGCGGGACTGAAAGAAGAACCTTTTGCTCAAGCCAATTAAAAGAATGTCGTAATCAAATTTTTATTAAAATCACTTGTTTGCTTGAATAAAAAAAATAAAAATAATAATAATAGCATGGCAAATAAGCAATTTTTATAATTTTTTTCAGAAATAAAACTTTTTGCAATTTTTTTCAAAAATAAGCAAATTTTTGACATGGGTATTACTGAGGATATTTAGTGAAACTTGCAAAATTATTCACGTTGAGCACTAATAAATTTCATGCAAAGGTAAATATTTCTAAACTTGCTGTGCAGGGCAAGTGCGAGAAGACGGTTCAGGACGTGGTGGAGCGCTTCTGGGACATCATCGAAGACATCAACATGAACACCGTGCTGATGTTCTTACGCGACAACATCGTGGGCACGGTGCTCGTGGTGTCCGTGCTCATCTGGCTGCCGGCGAGCTGCGTGTTTAGCCTTGTGGACAGGCGAGTGAGGTCCAACTATGAGAAATATGTACGCTGGTACTACAGTACTGAGCTCATACATCCTAATGACAGTGTCAAGGTGATCGTAAGCAAGCGTACCCGAGTACCCAACAGCGGCACTCATCATAATCTGGATGTGCGTCATCGTCCTGAGGGAGCTGAGACACGGCCACCTCTCTCTACCCCACACTGTAATCCCCCTCACTCACACCACTTCGCTAGCCCTCTCTAAAGCTGCTCTTTTAATCGTCTCCTTCTCTATCCATTCATGCTATCCCTCTCCTCACAATACGTCGCTAGCCCTCTCTAAAGCAGCTCTCATAATCGTCTACTTTTCTACTCCTATGCGATCCTTCCACTCACACCACTTTTCCAGCCCTCTTTAAAAGAGCTCCCCCAATCGTCTCCCTCTTTAAAGCCCTCTATAATCCCTCTCACTCGCACCTCTTCGCCAGCCCTCTCTAAAGCAGCTCTCATAATCTTCTCTACTCATTTCTGCGATCCCTCCACTCACACCACTTCTCCAGCCCTCTTTAAAAGAGCTCCCTCAATCGTCTCCCTCTTTAAAGCCCTCTATAATCCCTCTCACTCGCACCATTTCGCCAGCCCTCTCTAAAGCAGCTCTCATAATCGTTGAAGTGTGGACTGTCACAGTCATTCACTTTCCTAGTGTCTCCTGAATAGTTTCTTTCCCTCTTTGTTCACATATAGTTCTACAAGAGGTTATTTACACTCGCTTGCCCTTGAGTACCTTTTGCAATTATATTCTGTAGTTTAAAACTGAATGATTCCGAAAATGATTATTTAAATTTAGTCTCTTTATTGAATTCCATTCTCATATTACATAAATTGGAAATGCCTCACTAGTTTAAACTTAGTAACTTGCACTGCGCATCCTCTATAAAATAGAACCAGTTTTTCGTCTTGCAAAATTTGTAATCCGGCGGCTATGTAGAATTGCTGATAAAATAGCTTGGGCATTGCTTGAGCAGCCATCGGTCGGTATCATACCACGATACCTGGCATTGGTATTCCTAGTTGATCTCGGATTTTTTGGCATCTAATTTAAAAAAATATAGAAGATATTTTGTAATCTGTTATTTTCGTTTTTTGTTGATCTCTGACAAGCTTGTCGTTTTGTCAATGTCCGAAGATTTTGTTTTAAAGTAGTTGAACTATTTTTCATAGTTTAAATATAGTTTTTAAAGTGACGCTGCTATGATATTATTTTCGACTTGAGATCTCAACTTCAAGACATTCCTACGCCGCACTAGACGTGTAAAATATTATCAATGGTTAGCATAGATAAATTAATGTAAGGCGAGTGTCTATTTTAAAAGTGTAATTGTCTTTGAGCTTCAACATAAAGCTTATCATTTTAATTATCATTCAAGTAGCTTGTTTAAGTATTTTATAGATCGTTATTTCCTTCGTGGAAGGTTTGAGTAATGTTCAAAATTCATCATTTGTATGCCTTGTTCAAAAAAATGGAACAATTAGGTGCAAGGCAAACAGCGTTTAAATGATCACGTTAAATAACGTTAATCGCATTATTTATTTACTTCCTCTAAAAATACAAGTATTTACCCGTGTAAATCTTAATTATTACGGGTCATGAAATAGTACCATAACTGCAACGCAATTACATCAGAGGCGTTTGCTTCCTAAAGCCTGTCGATAATTAGTCGTCTGAGCAGCCATTCTTTTTAATCATAAAATGGACACTAAAATTGTTCTCATCACTTATGCGCCTCAGTCAATTTGATGTGTATTCTTTACAAAACTAAGTGCTCTGCTGTGTCTGGTTTCCTTGCAGTTAGTTACTTTTACATTCAATCTAAAAAATGTTAGTTAGTTACTCGAGCCATTTTTCTAGTTCACATCAGATGCACCAACTTGACACCGTATATCTTTCTCATTGTTGATAACAACGTACGGTATGTGTCGTTTGATTGTACTAAGTGAACTTTTCCTTAGTTTCTGAAGAACTTGAAATAATTCTTAATTCCTATCGTTGCAGAAAAAGAGCGAAAGTGGCACTGAAAACTCGGTCTTGAGAAGAAGGTAGTATTGTGTGTGTCTAACAAAGCTTTAATAATTGTGCGGAACGGAAATTTTGATGTGGTCTATGTCCGAGAAAATATTTTGTGTGGTGTATCCTATTTTGTGTTGTCTAATATTCAAATTCATCTTCTGCATACTCTAGTCTAGGTCATTTGTAATGAAAATAGTTGTAGGCATACCGTGATCCACATTCTTTGTATTTTAAGTCTATAGATATACGATACATGTAGAAATCAAGCACATCTGATTCAGTGTTTTTCCATATTCTATTACGATATATATTCTTAGAGTTTTAAATTAATGTTATGGAATTAATTTCTGAAGCTAACAACATTCATGTATCTTGAATTCTCTTTTATCGCGTCCCGTTCTCATGCTCTCATGCCATCATTTTATGTAAGACTGTGTTTATCAAATGAAATATTGTTGTCTTTGAACAAAGACGTTTGTTTTGTGTATTTTGATGGAATTACTACTCCAGTATTACTAAATTTTAATTGTTTATAAGTCGAAATAGATACATGTTTATAACCGGGAACTAACTTCCCTCGTTTCGATTCTTCTTCACGCTTCAGCTTAAGTGAATAAATTGAAATATTCATGAGATAATCTGTTTGAACGGATTTAATATCGAAGGCATGCAAATTTTTTCCCTATAGGTGTCCACAAACTATAATTATGTAGCACTGAGCACAAATAATATTGAATAATACTGAATTATTCTTAGTGATACAGGGAGAGCTGGATCAAGATGAGCTGCTATTTGTGGTGTTTGGTTATCGTAATTTGCTTCTGGGGGGAAATTTCCAGAAATTTTGCGTTTACTTTGATTTAATTATTACAAGTTGCTGGCATCAAGGCTATGTTTCTGCCTGTTATTTATGTACGGGTAATTCTCGTATTCTTGATTTTGTTTTCCCATGATTCTCACTTGATTTTTACTGAAATCTGAACAAACTGACGCCATGGGCCTATTTATTCAGTGCCGACACTTCTATTCTATTCTATTCTAAGTGTCTTTTACCGTTTAATATTTAACGTGCATTTGCCTGAGTATTGCCATGATCCATATTTTTAAAAGAAATGGCCAAGTAAAGCCAATTAATTACCCATCATTGGGAGATGGTAAATTCCTTCAGAGCTCCTATGCCGTTAATTTAAGATAACCTGAAGATAAGGAGCATGAAAGCGTGCGAGTTGGTATTAACGTGACAGCATGCAATCGTTGTGCATGACGAATGGAGTGACACGAAACTAACTTCGGTGTTTGTGAAGGAAGAAATTTTGGTTTTGTTCTGTGGTTTTCGAATGTCGACGTTAATACGTTCCATGTGGAGTGTCGACTTCTCAAACGACCAAATTTCAAATAAATTTTTAATCGAAGGAAATTATCGAAAACCAATTAACTTGATTCGAACTTGAATTTTCCTTATAAAACTTTTGATTTATATTGAATGATTGCTCTTTTTCCTGAAAAAAAAATTACTAATACATGCTAAAATAAACAGCCTTTTAAATATTCGACCTAACTTGATAGTAGCTATAGCGTACGGTATCATTAAACGCTGCTTACTTCGATATTGAGGAACATCTTTGGATCGACTGAGGAGTGTCTGTTAGAGGGCCATACACTGGAAAACAAATCCTTTTCTTAAAGTACACCTAGAATCTGAATGTGGAATTTTTTGGCAAAATTCATTCATTAATTCTCTGCGAATTTATATTCTGTGGCTGTATCAGTTACGCTTCCTCCTATATCATGGTTTTGAGTGACCGCCTTTTCAATTCTTTATTCTCATTATTTTCCTTTTGTCAGTATCTCCATGTTTCTTTCTCGGGACCCATTTTTCACTTGAATTGTTGTATAAAGTGAACAAAATATCGTGCAATCTGCATAAACGACGGGCAGAGACCATGTGACAAATGCAACAGACTAACACCAACTGGCGCTAGATGAGCAAATCGGCATTTTCGGAGTCGCGTCGAATTTCATATTTCCGTCGACTACTGAGTTATATTTTATAAAAAATTTGCGTATTCGTCCGATTCCTAAAACTGTCGACTACCTGGGTTCCACTGTACTATGTACTTGATTTTTCATTAGTACTGTTAGTATGCACGCATTACCGTACTTTAATGACTTAAAATAAGGGAAAATGTCACTTCTGTTTAGATAGGCGTTTTTGGTCGTTGCTGTCAGTAATTGATTATAAGGGTTGATGATTTGTTTATAGTTGTAATGCAGCGCAAGTATCCTGACCTAGCACCCTAGCTTTATTAATGCACGACCTGTCTAACAGACACTCAGATTGCCCCAATAGTGAAATACAAACTCACCGTGGCAGTATATATGTTACTTTTGATTGTGTTACTTTTATTTATAAACTAAGCTTATTAGTTTGGGAAAATTTTAAATGTTCCACTCTGTAATTCAAGTCCATTGATTCAAATACTACATTCATTTTTAGGTATGCGTATTTTCCATAATACGTCTAATGGTAATTTAAGCTTTAATTTATAATATGTTCCATGTAGGACATATCGAAGTGCATAATTATTTAAGTCGTTCAAAAATTAGCTCTGTTAAGATTGATCGGTTATGAAGGTTTTTATCATTTAAAACCGAATATTTATTGCAACGCGGCCAGTTTAACGTATGTCGTTTATGATTTAAATACAAGATAATTACCATTGTTCCGTTGTACAGTGCGGCACAATCGTTAGATGTTTTAGTGAATAAACCCTCGTATATCTGCAGACGAGTTTTATTTCTCTACACCAAAAGATATTTACTAAATTACTTTGAATGGCTTTGTATATCCGAGACACTCGTTACACGTGTAGGTACCCGTTTACTGGGCTGGACTCTAAGGAGTGTTTAGCCTCAGTGTTACAGCCACTTTCCGTTTATCGTTGAAAATATTTCTCGACACAAATGATTGAGAATTAAAAGCAAAGAAAATGCCATATACATTCACAATATTTTATTTAAAAAAATATCAGCTCCAGCATCAGTTTAAAGCATAAAGAATACAAATATAATTAGCAGAAAGACTGAATTTACACGTATGTGATTAAAATCTAAACAATTAGCTTTTATGTCGCTGTCAGTTTTCAACTTGAGTTAACTGATGATACTTACTTTTACACGAATATTCTAAGAAGAATCTACCTCATCCATCGTATTGAATCTTGCCGAAGCACAGTTCCAGTATTGCTCGTTTAGACGTAATTTAAATATATTACCCAAAATATTCGGTGTAAACCTTGGTCAGTCACACCAGCAACACTGTAAAAACTGTACGTCTGATATAAATGCCTTAATGTTTTTTTGTCATACTTTATGGGCTAGAGATGTTTATCACTCGATGTCAATGTGCTGTACGGCGACGTTTTGTTCCGCATTCACGACCTCAGAAAGCGACAGCGTTCGAATTCTTTTCAAATACGTCAGTTAACGCGCTCATGCAGGGTCGCGCTGGGTATTCCGCTTGCGAAAATTTTACTTCATGTTTTTTTCGTTGCGTCAAAGCGCATATATTTTTAAGTCCAGCCTTTAAACTTGCTTATAAGGGCCTGCATTTGTTTAACTTAAATAAAGTTCAATAGGCATTTGCCAAAAAAATAAGATTTAGTTTATTAAATTGTGAGCTGCGAAGAGATTATTCATTTGAAAAAGACTTTTCATCTCTACTATTTTGAAATAATACGTCGCCTGTTAACGTACGTATTTGCGTCATAATTTTTCTCAAACTTGCCATACGATAAATTCATGAGCAAGTAAGTTTAAATGAATCCGATTGGTCTTCCAACATGACCTTTCGTAATAGTTTGTTACGGCAACGCGAGGGAAGTGCTACAGCACGACGCGATCGCTTCCCTCAGATTCACTTCGCAAGGTCAGTTCGACTTCCGCACTGACGCGGCGCTAAACGAACTTGCATGCCACTCAGTGAGATCGCAAACGGCGTCACAACTTGACTGAGTGAGGAGGTGCGAAACTCACGAATAACAGAGCGTATGAGAATCAATACTGCAAGTTAATAGTACAGTACACTAATATCAAGGATATTATGTAAATAGGAATCTTTCTTTTTAAATTGAATTCTTTCATGTTAACGCCCGCATGACAACGCTTGAAAATGGAGAGTGACCAAGAATCAGTTTACAGTGTTGTAGTATATGATCTATTATTATTATGATGTTAATACTGATTATTATAATGAATGTTGATATATGTTATCACATTAAATGAAGGTATTTTCGAAGATATTCATCATTTTTGTTAATATTTAGGCCATGAGGATCACCGCTAAAGCCGCGACCGAGAGAATACGTTCGAGTTCAAGTTCAAGACCTTAGCATGGCTCAATTTCATCTTTACTGTACCGAAAAAGTGATATATTTTATGATGAATCATGAGTCCTGATATTTAAGTCGTTTTTATTGTCTTTGTTGTCACTCGCACCGTAGCAAAATGTGACGCCTACTTTCAGAAAAAATGTGGATACCGAGCAGTAATCGGAGTGCAAAATAAATAATTTACTTAATTATGTAGAGTTTTTTTTCCAATTTTGCAAACTATAGTGATTATATATGCTTTTAAGACAATTTAGTGGCTTTTAACGGCGTCGCATTCGCTTCTCATAGTCGATTGGATTTAATTTGTCATGAACAGCTAGTAAAATATTTCTTAAAGATTACTTTCTCGCAAACAATAATATTAACTGTGGTGCCGGCTTTGATGAGGCCGCATATGGCGGCTTGACTCAGATCCTTGGAATTTGCTAATTTTAGCCCACAATTCACTGCTTCAATGAGGTTGCTCTAAATAATTTGGCTACCTTGCTGATTTCAACCAGAATTTTCTCAGCAAGCGGCGATTGAACCAATGACTTATAACCCATAACCTATAACTGATGGTCTTGGCACTCATTCAATTAATTAATGTAACCGCTGAGCCACCTTGCCGCTATATATAAAATAACTGAGTCTGATGTACCATTTACGCTCATGTAACAATTTAAATTTCAAATTGTCGGTAGAAACATACTTTTTGTCTCATGTAACAATTTATGTGTCAAATTTTCGAATTGTCGGTGGAAACATGCTTTTTGACAACTTCTTCCCTATTGCTAGCTTTCATTTTTTTTTTCTCGTGAACCGTTACTTCTGTGACCTTCAGATCAGTGCCACGCCCTGACCTCGGAATTAGTACCGATGAGCTCCACGACGTTAAAAAAACTTCTGGAACATGACAACTTCCTGCTCAGACTTTTAAACGAGGCTGAATATTGCTCAGTCATTCATATGCAATTATTGCAGCGTTAGCTAGTAGTTAGCTAGTAGCTAATAGTTAGCTAGTATATAGTTAGCTAGTAGCTAGCTAGTAGGTAGTAGTAGTTAGCTAGTAGCTAGCTAGTAGTTAGAAAGTAGTTAGCTAGTAGGTAGTAGTAGTTAGCTAGTAGCTAGCTAGTAGTTAGCAAGTAGTTAGCTAGTAGGTAGTAGTAGCTAGCTAGTAGTTAGCTAGTAGGTGGTGGTAGCTAGCTAGTACTTAGCTAGTAGGTAGTAGTAGCTAGCTAGTAGGTAGTAGTAGCGAGCTAGTAGTTAGCTAGTAGCTAGTAATTAGCTAGTAGCTAGCTAGTAGTTAACTAGTAGTTAGCTAGTAGTTAGCTAGTAGTTAGCTAGTAGTTATCTAGTAGTAAGCAAGTAGCTAGCTAGTAGTTAACTGGTAGTTAGCTAGTAGTTAGCTATTAGTTAGCTAGTAGTTAGCTAATAGTTAGCTAGTAGTTAGCAAGTAGTTAGCAAGTAGCTGGCTAGTAGTTATCTAGTAGTTAGCTAGAGAATTGCAGTGCTTCAGATGCTGTTTAGATTATTTTTCGTCGTAATTATGATGCTATATCGAAATCTCAAATTAATGGGAAATGTGAGAAATAATAAAGGGACCAAATAATGGGACCAGGAAATGAAGAGAAAAGTGTGAATCACGATTCGCCTCATATGTAAAATTTTTTACGACTGGAAAAAAATTTTAGCAAAAACGCTTGAAAATAAAAATTGGTTACATTCTCTTCAGGGAATTGTTTCAGAGGAATTTCACAATGTAATCTCTGTATAGTTTTAATAGCACGATCTGCAGTGGTAAACTTTCTCAAAACTTCTAAACTTTGTGTTCTCAAAAGGTGAACTTTTGAGAACGTTCTCAAAAGTTCACCTGAAAAAGCTAGGGAAATTTACCCGAGCCATGAATTTCCATCAGAAATTATAAAAAATTAGAGAAAGAGAGAAGGGGCTGTTCATGGGACTCCCCTAGCATTTCATTTCTTGGTTGTCGGCGCTCAGGTTCTAGGACCGCAAGCATTCCAGTCTTATGTTGTTCCAGCCTAAATAATTTGTATTACAAATAAGTCATATTACTAAATTTTAAAGGGAATAGGGAAATATATAATGGCGAGGATGAACTGGGACTCCCCTGCGGCATCTTTTTTCTTGGTTGTCGGCGCTCAGGTTTTTGTATCGCAAGCATTCCAGTCTTATGTTGTTCCAGCCTAAATAATTTGTATTACAAATAAGTCATACTACTGAAGTTTAAAAAAATAGGGAAATATATTATGACAAGAATGAATAAAATAACATAAAAAATTAGCGTATTATATTCAAAATTTAAAATTAACCATAAATTGCATTAAATAATTATTATGTAGGAAAGAGGTACGCACAGTTTACAATCATCGTATTTATTCGTTGAATATTCGTTTTCAGCCTCGATAAACGAATTTTCCCATAACCAGTTGAATTTTGCAGACAATTTTCGCACAATGATTTGTTTTCGACGTTTTCTCGATGCGCGTTGTAATTCGTAACCGGCAGAAGCATCGGTTTTTCCNCAAGTCAAAGCATGACTCGGCAAAATCTCGTGTCTAAAATGTCTCACTAATCCTTGAAGTTTTATCCAGGGTAAAACCAAGGTCAGCAGATTGCCACTGAATAACTCAGGCCTTCCTTCGGGCACGGTACTCTGAACTTCACTTAATTGTATTATAAACATTGATGGCAACTGCCCAACTGAATAGAGATATTTCTAATTACTGTTGACGGCTAAATGCGTGCACGTTTATACTGGTGGAATCAATAGGCACTCTTTAGAGTCTAGTAGGCGTAAACTCAGAGGAATTAACGAGAATTTGTCCAAATATCAATGCACTTTTGCCCTTGTGTGGGTCATCTTGACCCAGTTTGGCCCATAAAAAATACGTCTCAACGCTACACGCAGCAAGTGTACGATATTTGGACAATAATACCCGTTTGTCACCTCAAGTTGCGTGAAGAACTGTATGGCAGTGAGCAGCGCAGGCAGGTGCCAGTGCGTGTACTGCGTGATGCTCACAGCCGTCTGCTGCAGGTAGCCACTGTCTGCTGCAGGCAGCCCGTACACCCACGCAGTCGCCTCTGCCATTAATTATTATATCAAAACATGTCTCAATGGAATACTATTCTCAGTACAGTACTATTCTCGAGGACCCAAATCATATGTTTGATCCAGAAATATATCATAGATCCTGAACTATATTTTAGGTGCAAATATATCTTTTTGAACCTGAACAATACGTTACATTCACATCAATTGTTTAGATCCAGAACTATTCTTCAAATCCCAAAATATTCTTCAAGTCCAAAACTATTCTTTAGATCCAAAACGAGACAAGTTTTATATCACCCGTGTTAGACCTCGCTCAAGCCACGTAACGAGACCGGCAGTCGGCGAAAAGTTACTATAGAGTGCAATGGAATCGACTAAAAAATAATCCTAAATTATTCATAGAGGAGTTTGGATGATAAATGGTGACAGAGTTCAATTTATAGAATATATTGATAAAATGACTAATGATTATAAAATTGTAATAGAATGTCTCACCGTGAATCGCACCATGCACTGTCAACGAACTCTCTGTTTCAACAGCCGTGGACGAATTCCTCAGGGATTCAATAATATTCGATCCCTTAGTGACAGCTTGAGTGTTATTCGCGTTCTTTAATTGCACTTCGTCGAAATTCTCATCGAATGGAATCTCCTCAAAACGATTATCGTCCTCAGAAATCTCTGGTTCCAGCGTCAGTTGAGAAAGATCGTTATTCGAGTCCAAGACGCTACCGATGCTCTTGCCAAGGGATTTTATTTCTTCTTCTTGATCATGTTTCTTGATCTTTTCCTTGAGGTGCGTATCGTGCTCATCGTCCACGGGTATGCGTCTGTCTTCGTTCAAGTCAAGGCGACGCACGGGCGGCTGTGAGGGCATGTCGAACGGGAGAACTCCTGAGAACATGCGGGCGCTGCTGTCCGTTACCACGTGAAGTCTGCCCGCAAAAAACAGTTGATTTGTAAGTGTTGAATTAGGTGGAGAAACAATGCTTTGTTGGAAAAATCAAGGAGTTTGAAACGCTATCATGGAGAGATGCTTCAGTGAATAAAATATACTGCGATTAATTTTTATAACAAATGACCAATTCTTAAAGCAAGATCGAATTGAATTAATTGATGATTTGATCGATGACCAAAACAAGGAGATTGTTTTGAATGAACCACGTAGATATATTTATAGGCATTCCATCCACCAAAGGAACAACTCGTATTAAATTTCATTGCCTAACAGGTCGAATTTTCCAATGGCTGTTTTAAACAAAGATACACACTACATAGCAATTGATAAAGCTGAGAAATATAAGTATTTGTTTACGGCTGGGCGCTGTGTTGGAAGGTCCTGTCCTTGACGAAGCTGAGCCATGGCTGGACGACGTCCTTGACCGCGACGAGCTGCTTGAAGTTGGCGGCCATATGCACCGTGAGCGTCTCGGGCGAGGATATGACTCGGCAAAATCTCGTGTCTAAAATGTCTCACTAATCCTTGAAGTTTTATCCAGGGTAAAACCAAGGTCAGCAGATTGCCACTGAATAACTTAGGCCTTTCTTCGAGCACGGTACTTTGATCTCTGAATTTCACTTAATTGTGTATTGAAGACAATGATGGCAATTGCACTGCTAGATATATTCTTAATTACTGTTGACTGTCAAATGCAGTCAATTACTTTAGAGTCTAGTAGACGTAAACGCACACTCAAAGAAATTAACGAAAATTTTTCTAAATAGCGACGCACATTTGCCCTTCTGTGGGTCATCTCGAAAAAATACGTCTCAACCCAGAAAAAAAATACGTTTCAACGCTACATGCAGCAAGTGCGATTATTTGGACAATAATACCATCTATTTTCCTAAGTGCGGCTACCGCAGCTTCGGTAAGTACCCATGTTTGCTGTTTGATGGCGCAACGATTGTGGACAACCGTGCTTCATCCGGTAGCGCCGCCCCTACATCGGATGTGTCGCGCTCACGCTCGTCACTTGTCGTCCTGCATCGTCCGGGCCAGCACGTGTGCTGCTCCGAGATAACCTAGTCTCCAGAGACTAGGTTATACCTAGACTGTGCACGATATCTGTGCTGATTTCCGTTTGGGTTTTATCATTTTTCTTCAAGTGTTTCATAAATTAATATAAGTACATGTTGCATGCCATATAAAATTTTCCATTTTATGACTGAAGCGGAACCTTGTTTTCTTAATGAAAAATTAGTTATTTACTTGGAAATCGCAATTACTTTAATTAATGCCTTTTCTGCCAGGTTTCATAGATTTCGATATTTTCTCTGGATTTTCGATTTTCAAGTTCTGAAAATAGAAACTGAACAAACACTAAATAAATAATTGTAATTCAAGTTAATTGTCGTAAAGAATTGAACAATGATGATAAATTTGATCTATTTTTAATGTACTCTGCATCACTTGATTCCTCAGAATATTGTGTATTTCTTATAAGTTTCGATTGAAGAATCATTTGAGTGCATTAACAATAGTTGTTGTCAAAAACATGAACGTGAACTTTCGTTATGCTTTGTTGAGAAAAATCAAGTGAAAATCTGAAAAAACTTTGATTCAACTTCCACGAAAAAATTCTCAGAATGAGTAGGCAGGCCCACGTAAATGCAGCCTTCATCGACGATGAAGGCTTCAACCAGCAGAGCCTCAAAAAGAAACAAGATGAAATTTCCAATAAAACGAAGAATCCCGCGCCTCTCACTGATCTCAACGAGGAACTTATGGATTTCGACGACATCGTGCCATACTTGGACAAGTTTGGCCGCTACCAAAAGCTTCTTTTCCTCGCAATGGCTCCGTTTTGCTTTAATTTAGTCCTGATTTATTTCCCGCACATTTTTGTGACCCTGGAACCTGAACATTGGTGCAGAGTTCCAGAACTCCTGCATCTTCCTCTCGATGTCAGGTGAGCCCTTAAGAAGTGTAACAAATCATAATTTTGATGTACATAACCATCTACTATAGTAATAACTGTGAATGCAACATCACTGCTTAATACACACCCCTTACTAAAATAAAACCAATCGTGAATACTCCATTACTATGATGTCATTTGATCTCCATATGCTGTGTTTCATCGCCGAAGATTTTCAAACTTTTTCGAGTAATAATTCATTAGGTTAAGAATTCCACTACATTTTACGAACGCGCTGCCCTTACAATGGCTAATTATAAACATCTGAATTTCATTACAATTTCAACACTTCCAAGAAATAATCCCTAAGCCATTGACAATTTTGAAACCGGTTCATTCGTTGTAATTGTCATACCAGTATGTGCACAAAGGATTTTTTCTGAGGACTTTCAAACACTGGTTCAAATCATCACTTTATTGAGAACTATTTAATTTTACAGACGCAACTTGAGTGCGCCCATTTCTGCCGAGACTGGAAGATACGACAGCTGTCGGGTATACGATGTCGACTTCGCTGCCATCCGACAGTCGCTGGACGCTGGTCAATCTGTGGTACCGAACTCTTCGTGGGGGACAGTCGAGTGCACAAGTTGGGAGTATGACTTTTCTCGCGTAGGAGGATACGCGTCCATAGTGTCTGACCTGGACTGGGTGTGTAGCCGGGGTGGCTATGCGGCGACAGCGCAGAGTATTTTCTTCGTTGGGGCGGTGGTGGGCGGTCTGATCATTGGATGGCTCGCCGATAAGTTTGGACGAATTCCGGTGCTCGTCGGGACCAACATCATCGGGGCAGTGTCGTGTCTCTTGACCGCCACGGTCACGACCTTCGTTGAATACGCTATCTACAAGTTCATTGCTGGACTTGCGTTCGATAACATCTTCATCATGATGTACGTACTGGCGTTGGAATATTTTGCACCAGAACACCGAACAATCGTTGCAAATATGTCAATCGCGATTTTCTATACGATTGGAACGGTGGTTGTGCCATGGTTGGCGGTGCTCGTAGCGGACTGGAGGCTCTTTTCGGTGCTCTGTAGCCTGCCTATGTTGTTCGGGGCCAGCGCGTACTACTTCATTCCGGAGAGCATTCGGTGGCTCATGCTGCAAGGTGAGAGATTTGTCGCCGGTTGCACTCACAGTTTTTTTCATTCTTTTCAATTGCACGGTCTGTTCGAGATCGGTGCCATTTTTTACTTTTTATTTTAATTTGTATCCTAACTGCACATTGAACTAAAAATAGCTACGGATCAATTATTACCGTCGTGTAAGTAGGATAGATATCTTATTTTGAAATTAATGTTATTATTGATAACAAGCAGGCATCAATTCAAAATAAAAAATAGAAACCGTCTAATATTTTCAGTAATAATTAATTTGATGTGAGGACTTACTCATGACGAACGCTTACATTTGTGCAGGTCGGATAGAGGAATCCATCAAGATCGTTACTAAAATTGCAAGCGTCAACAAGAAAAAGATCCCTGAAGAGGTACTCAAGAAGTTCGAGTCTTCGATGTGGCAAGCGAAAAGATTAGCAGAGACGGAAGAAGACACCGAAACGTTACTAGACATCAGGAAAACACCAGCACAACTGAGGACATTCATCATCGTTACTCTGTATTGGATGTTGGTAACTTTATCTTACGATGGGCACCTTAGGAATGTGTCCAACCTTCCACTGGATGTGTTCATCATCTTCACTGTAGCGGCTGCTACTGAGTTCCCAGCGGACACAATCTTAACCTTCACCCTCGACAAGTGGGGAAGAAGGTGGTATGCTTTCGGAAGTATGTTGTTGTCAGGATTATTCACACTGGCTGTACTAGCTGTCCCACAAGATCATGTCTACACCATAGCAACCTTGGCTATCCTTGGTAGGTATTGTGTTAATACGGCGTTTAATATTGGATTGCAGTACGCAGCTGAGATTATGCCCACCGTGATCAGGGCCCAGGGCATGAGTGCAGTTCACACAGCCGGGCACGTCGCAGCTCTGCTGGCACCACAAATTGTGTTACTTGGTAGAACATCTCCGGCTTTGCCATTGCTGATTCTTGGAGCTCTGGCCGTGATAGCAGGTTGCCTGGCACTCTTTTTACCAGAGACGCTGCATTCCCAGCTACCAGAAACTCTGATGGAGGGTGAAGTCTTTTGCAAATCATTCAAGTTTTGGTCATTCCCTTGCACCCAAAAACCTTTGCCAGACCCCGAAATTATTGAAGAGCCTAAATCCCCGACTCGCGGCTCCCTGGTCATAGCCCGTACCCGCAACTTCACTCGAGGGGAAAGCTACAGGTCTTCCCTCTTCAGGAGGAGGAGGAAGGAAACTATTTACCTGCCTGCGCCCCCGAAGGAAACACCATGATCGAGTTTACAACCTCTCTCGATATATTGAAATCTATGAATAGAACAAACTTATAAATCAGTTTACGGAGCTATAAACTTTATTTAAATTCCGTTATGTTTTTTGATGCAGTGCAATGTTCTATTTTGGTGTCACTTCAATGTTTCAAGTTTACCGAAAGAAAATAGCTGTAGAATGTTATCTTGATGTCCTAACAACAAGAGAGTTTTACAGCTGATATATTCCTGAAGATGCGAGGAGTCTTCGAGACTCTGAAGTCTGGATAGACACACGTTTTTTCAATTTGTAAATATTTGAAAAGAGTACATGAGAAATTTCAATAATGTGCGTTATTCTATGATAATATTGCACATATTTAAAGCATCAGGTCATTGTAACTTATGTGTAATTTATGTCTAGTTATTTAAGCCAGAAATTCTAGAATGTATTTTTGTAAATAATGAATGGAATTGAAATAATTAATTAACCTAATTTTTGAGCTCTCATTCGACCCTGCGAGTTAGAAGTGAATAAACAGATGACATTTATCAGGCAGTCCACCATAAAATAGATCAATCACAGCTAACAACGCCGTAAATGAATTTTACAACTTTCGTTGGTGCACAACTTCCAGCAATGTGTGGCATATAAAATTGCGGTCATAATTTTTAATATTCCATCTATTAAATTCTCATATAGAATTAAAAACAGTTTTTTCTCATAACACAGTTTTGTCAAAACAAAGTAATTTTCTTCAGATGATCAGCGGAACCTGAACTCGCGCATCGAGCATTTCGTTTCTTGTCAGACGTCACAAGAACAGCATCGGGAAAATCAAACAATTTGTTCTTAGCAAACTTGTATAAAAAATCACTCTTCTCAACAATATTTAACGACAGACATAAATCAAAACTCTCTTTTAAAAAAGACTAAGTTCAAAGTACATAAATATTTATGACTCAATAATAATATTAACAATAAATGTATAAATCGCAAGTAATACCTCATCAGATGACATCTGACATCTTTTAATTTTATTGAACAATATATTGCCGTGAAGTTTCAACATCGCTGCCAGAAATCGAAGTAAAAATTTAAAAAATCAAAATAAATCGAGGTAAAATCAATTAGATGGACATCGGAAATAGTAAAAAATATCGGATTAAAATGAAAATCTTTTGTACTAACTTCAGGTTTGGTTAAAATCCCATTGTTGAGAAGCACAAATAGGACAAGGCGGAAATTTCTAAACACTTCGAGGGAAAGTTCGACACTACTTGAAGTGATCGTTGATTAGGGAAGTCAAGTGAAAAGTGTAGTGCCTTCCACAGACAACACACAACCTAGACTTGCAAGTTGGCATGAAATTTAATGAAGAAAAGCTAGTTAATTTTCCATAGATAAATCTGATTAATAGTAATAGCGCCTATTGCTCGCATCAGTTCAAAGCACGTTCAACAGAAAGTCAAGAATTGGAATTCCACAGTTCCGCATATTATTCAGGGATCAGAAAAGTGTGCTTGAAATTAATAGAATCTTGGAATTAGATGTAATATTTCACAGAACCTCGTGCTGCAGTTTGTAGATGACTTCAAACAGGCCACACTCGCTACCCAAGGTCGTTCACCCATTAACACTTCGGTCCTAAACCCTAACGGCATGCAGATTGATGCAATTGAAATACACTATTATCTTGAATAATCTAACATAATTTGTGAAGAAGTTATTATTTATTTCCCCCAAAGACGTCCTAAAACACATTGAAATAAAACTATAAACAAGTTGACAAAATATAACAGACAACATTTCGGAAAATTTATATAATGATCGCTGGTCCAGCGTAGGTATACCGTACTAAGGAATATAGAATGTTTAGCGATATCTTCACAGTTTTAGAGGAGGCTCGTGGGCAAAGATACTAGAATGCTATAGAAAAATGTGTAAATGCAGTATTGCACGGCTGACTTCGAAGAATTCCTTACATATAAATTCCTATAAAAGATAATTGCGACAAATTTGTATAGTGCAGTGCACAATAAAATTATTTTTAATAGTATTACTAGATAGCGATGTAAACAAAGGGTAGATATAGCATAAACTGTGTTGTATAAACTATACAATTCAAGATGCCTACATTTGCACAACCAATAAACAAAATAGAGTAATCTTGTATTGCATTATTATTGAGACGGTCAACAATCCGTACAATGAAAATAAAGTTACAGCGGATTTCTTCTTTCTATGAAAGTTTCTGTGGATCACCGCTCTTCACAAAGTTTCAGAAATATTGTGGTCGAGATTCAATCTTCCGTTAAAGTGCGGATGGCTTACAAACCAATATTGATGTCTGAAATACACTGTTACCGGGCATGATTGAGCAATATTGAGCAATACCTACTACAGATTGGAAGAACATTCATCACAGCATTCGATCAGGATTAGGATTTTAAGTCTACTCCCTTCCACTGAAGGCATTTCTCGATACCAGGACTTAAGGTACGCAGGGCATTGTGGACGGCTGAGGTGTCCGTGGACAAAAGTTTAAAATCTGGCCATCGAAAAAATTACAAAGCAGCAAAATATGACGGACATCAGTTGGACAAGGATCATCAATTCAGTGAATTAATAGGCCCCCAAAAAATAAGGAAATAAATCGTGAAAATACGTGGATTCAAACTGCATACAATGCATTTATAATTGAAATTTTATCAAACTATGTAAGGATACCATTTTACTTCATGAAAATGTAGCGACGAATTGTTGATTGTGTTCACACGCACAGGCTTGAATTTTCTGGTGCAGCGCAAATCCATAATGCCTTTAAATCGATGATTATACACAAACCTATACTTGATATTCTACTCGGTTCTGGAGTTTGGCGTCACGATGGCCTTGTGGGGACGTCTGGAGAATTATGCAAGTTTTTAGAAAATCTACAAGAGATAAGAAAGACGAAGTTTTTATCTATGGAACATTTGACTTGAAGCCACTTTTTATGGCTTCAAGTCATTTCAAATGAAACGTAAGCTTGTTGAATCGGAAGTTATTGAACAAGAAAATTTGACACGAGGACAAAGTGTTAAGTATAACAAGTTGGTTAGATAGCACGGCACAAAATTGTCTTTGAAGGGATAACTGCACTTTTTTTCTGATTTACGACCGCTGATGAATCACGTTTGGTTAGATTTAAGCTTCATTCTTACTCTACAAAGTTACATCAGTATTGTAGCAACTTTAAATAAGTTTTAATTAGGTAGTGCAGTCAGGTCAATTACTGGGTACTAGTCGACGCTAAGAATTTATGCAGTGCAGGGACGACGTTCATCAAGAGAAGCGGCTTTCGGCGAGTGACACGACCTCCTCCACTTCGTGACCCATACTGAAGAGCAGGAGAAAGAAAGTAGGTATATATGGTATCAGATGGATAGATGGATACGCAAACATAAACTCCTCCCCAATGAACAAGACTAAAAAGTAAAGGCTATAAACCAGGGGCATAATGTATTAGTAATTAAAAAAAATCAACATTTCCAGATGACAGAAAAAGAATGATTTTCGAGGAACAATGTTGATGCTCATGAAATGCAAATAGCTGGAAAGATGAGTTAAGAAGCTAGAACCAGTATAGGGTAATCAATGCACAATAAAATATGTATTGAATCGACTATTTACATCATTTACAAATCCACAAAATGACCAACTGCGACTGGATCTGTGGAAAATAGCTCTCCAGGTAAGAAACGTTCAGCAACGTTTGATCGACGTAAATTGAACGTTTACTCACCGTTGATTGGACGCAAAAATTGATATTTAACGTTGATTAAACTTTGAAATAGAGAGTCAATGTTGATTCAATGTTAAAATTGATACTCAAAGTTAATTCATTGTGAGATGAATGAAGTAGAAGCATTAAACAGCAGCAGACCTGGTGAGTGCTGCGATGGTCTCGTTGACCTCAGAGGGATGACAGACGACCACCGTGCGGGAGGACGAGGGATGCAGCAGCGGCGTCAGGTAATGCTTGGCCACCCACTGCACTTCTGCCAGGGACACCCCAGCGATCATGGACAGCAGTTCCCTGCAGGATAACNTACACCTCGCACTGTGATGTCTGCAGCGCGGTGGTGCTGACGTTACATTTGAGTTACACCTCGCACTGTGATGTCTGCAGCGCGGTGGTGCTGACGTTACATTTGAGTTACACCTCGCACAGTGATACTTGTAGCACGGTGTTGCTAACATCCTATATTGCATTAACAAACAAATCAAACATTTCTGGTGAAGTTTAAAACTCATCGAAGAGTCGGTCCCCTCGGCTCACCGGGGCGGGAATTTTTCAACGTTCTACTACCAATTTACAGAGTGAGTAAAAATATTCATACTATTATTAGTTGTTGCTAGAGGAGTAAAAATCATCGATGTACGATGCCTCATTCTTTGTGCAGAAAATGAGTAGTTTAAGCCTCTTGTTCACCTAGACCACAACATCATTACAGAATGCATCTCACCTATTGTATGAGAGAGAGACTTGTCTGTAGTAGGAGAGCAGGCTTTGCTGGACCACGTCGGCCACGGTGTCTTCTCTGTAGATCACATCGAACATCAGTGAGCTCTTGGCGCTCTCCAGCAGCAGCGGGTCCCAGTCTCTGCTGCCGTTGATGTAGCTTCTCTGTGGACAAATTAATTTACCTTACACACATTAATACAGACGCTAGGACGGAGCTACCATTGAAATTCGTTACGGGAGAAATAAAAAATCGAATGTCAATCCGTACTAACTTGCAGGATCCCCAACATGACCGATAGGAAATCCATTACCAATCACTTCATTAATTCCATATTCTGGAATTGCAATAACGACGGAGACCTTTAAACAACTTAAGTCTTGGATAAAAACATTGTAAACAAAATATTACTAATTATTTCATTCGTGTATAGCCGTTTCATAATTTTTTTAATCGTACTGAGATAAAATAGTTACATCTCATCTTGTATCATAACTCCTCATTAGTCGTGAGCATCTGAGAGGTGTCTACTCACGAGCCGGATGAGGGTCTCCTCATAAGCAGTGAGCCGCTGTGAGGTGTCTACTCACGAGCAGGATGAGCGTCTCCTCATAAGCAGTGAGCAGTTGTGAGGCTGTCTCTTATACACATCTAGATGTGTATAAGAGACAGCCTGTTGGTGCCTGCGAGACTGAGGCCCATCTCCGCAGAGAACTCCACCATTTCAGCAGACAACCTGCGTATCACCGTCTCGTAAGGCATCAGGGTTGTGCCTGTGCAACAAATGACGCCAAGTAATTATACATAGCATAGTATTCAAGGGTTGAACGTCGGGTTTTATTTAAATCTACGAATGACATTATTCGAAATATTTTCTTGATTTTGTGTTCTCGATTAGATTCAATAATTATGTGTGTATTGAAAATAAGCCAACACTAAGTCATATTCAAAAGCTAGTTTCCATGGTTCCATAAAATTTCCTGTATTTATAAGAATTTTGAACCCAGAAACGATTTTGACTTGAAAAATTATCTCGATAGAAACCACAATATTAAAATTTATTCTGCCGAGTTACCGTTGGCAAATATTACCATTTTTGAGCAATGAAGACTCGAAAAAAAGCTCAAGCAGCAAAGGCAAGTAGAGACGGTCTGAAGTAGACAGCATTGATGAGTCCAATACGGCGGTAAGCTGTAGGGAAAAAATTACCAAATTAAATCTGTTATATCTTAAGTTACACTACGTGCAAACTATAAAGATATCACAACTAAAGTAGGTGGCCCATAATCAGGTTGTTTCTAAGCAGATTTTATCAAAAGAAAATGAAAAATAAGCAGGTTTCTATAGCACTTACTGTGACGAATTTCGTGTTCAAATAAGAGGATATTATAAAAAAAGAAATAAACAAGTTTCTATAGCACTTACTGTGACGAATTTTGTGTTCAAATGATCAAGCTGCATTCTGAGGGGCAGCTTGGAGAGAGGGAAGAAGGGAGGGTCGGGCGTCAGTGTGGCGCGCGACGCGTCAGAGGAGGGATGGTTGTTGTAAGCCTCGACGCTGTGGAACACCACAGACGCCGGTGAAGGGATGGGTAATGAAGACAGCATGGACGATGGTGGTGGAATCTAACGGGGTATAAACAGAGATGATAAAAGATTTCTCAACGGCTTAATAGGAGTTGATAAGAAGATTCAATATTATTCTATCAACATTTTTTGGCAGCAACTTATGTCTCCAGTGTACTTAGAGAAATGAACTACACATTTTGAAAATAGTGATACACTTTTTTGTGCTTGTGTGGGTAATCCTGACCCAATTTAGCCCAAAAAAAGGCATATCAGTGCTATGTCCGCTCTTTGATTCTGCTGCTGATAAGGAGGTATCACCAATTTAACGAAAATACCCATTCATTTACCGGAGTATAGCTACAACAAATGGGCAGATAATACGCACCTCGTTGATACTCTCAGCAATATCTATCTCTCGTTGCTTGCGTTCAAGTCCCTCCCTGCCAAGTTGCATGACTCGTTCCTGCCTGAGCTCTTCTTCCTCGAGATGCAGGCGTTCAGCCTCGGCAGCAGAAGGTCTGGCCAGCACCACAACCGAGGGCTGGTCCAGCAGGAACTGACGCAGAAGGTCCCGCCAGAAGCTCAGAGGCTGAGTCAGCAGCACGCGGTACCACGATACTTTGTCCACGCGGTGCTCCAGCTGCACGGTCACAGTTCCAGTCTTAAGGTATTAAGGATTTTCAGATGTACTGGAAAAAGATCAAGTCGTACTGAACTTAGGTGCTTCTTATAGACAAGAGTAAATAAAAGAGGTCAAGAGAGCTTCATTAGCTGCACAGTCAAAAATCGATAGATCCTTATAAATTAATAAACGATTAAAATGCCAGATGAATTATGAAGAATTACTCACATCCATAAACCAATAATTTACTAATCTGGATTGTTGGGATTCTTATACGGTAGGTATCGATCTGGCGCGCACTGCGGTCTGCTTTCGTTGAGACTTTAGAGAGAATCAAAGTCAGGACTCAAGGAGACATGAGACCGGGCGTGCCTTTCAAGCAGTTCCCAGTGTTGGTCAGCCCTATCAGTTAGAACAAGACACTTCTCTTCTGTGCCGTCATCAAATAAGTGTCATTGGCAGCTCCATGTTCATCAGTTAAAGTATAACTAAATATCTACCAACAAACCTGATTCTCTTTCTCTAGATGTAGTTGTGAGGGAATGGCACAGACCCTCTGAATGAATTCGAGTGTTTTTCACGTGCTTGCATCATCATCGATTGAGTAAATTTCTAACAGAATCGAATGAAATATATCTTTTATATAGGAATTGTTTAAATGTCTAAAATGAGTTTAAATTAATGATAAGACACTTGACCATAAGACAAGGACACTGGGTTAATAATACTTAAGAGCCGGAAGAATGTGTAGCAGCACACACATCTTGGCAAGTGTTTCCATAGAGAGCGTCGCCGATGATGGCGTAGGCGAGGGTGTCACGAGGCGACGTCTCGAGTTCGCTCAGCTGCGTGAGGATGAGATGTGACAGAAACTCTCGCATTTGCGCCAAGTCGATACCGTCGCCGTCGGTGCCAGAGTACAGGTTTTCTAGCGTGGTTCGCATCAGTGGCTCCACCTGAACGTTACGTGAAAATAAATGTTAACTAATCTGTAATTAGGTCTCATTAGAACAAAGAGATTAACATGGATTCTATTAGAAAACAACTGAATTATTGACGTTGTTTTAACATAGGACTGTGTAGATAAAAAACATACCATTTCCATGTGCTCCAAAGGTACGCCGGTGAATTTCAGGTAACAGTTTGATGCTTGATTCTCAGAGACGTAGTGAGAAACCTGGAAAAAATAGAAATCACATTCGTGACATCAAATACATGTAAAATAACATTCATCTACATTAACTAACAGTGAATGGAAAATGAATGGTAAAAATTTAATTTTACGACTCCAGTGACAGGTATTACATAAGTTTTCCCGCGCACAGGATTATTAATATATCATAAATATATTACACAAGTTTTCCCGCGCACAGGATTATTAATATATCATAAATATTGCGTGGCCCTTAAGCAGACAAACTTTACAGTATATCTAAATAATCTGATGAGTGAGTTAGTGGTCGGAGCCTGACCATTTTTGAAGATGACGCCACGATGCATGAGTGAGAGTATCTTGGACGCCTNGAGCAAATAAGACGCACCTCATTGATACTCTCAGCAATATCGATCTCTCGTTGCTTGCGTTCAAGTCCCTCCCTGCCAAGTTGCATGACTCGTTCCTGCCTGAGCTCTTCTTCCTCGAGATGCAGGCGTTCAGCCTCGGCAGCAGAAGGTCTGGCCAGCACCACAACCGAGGGCTGGTCCAGCAGGAACTGACGCAGAAGGTCCCGCCAGAAGCTCAGAGGCTGAGTCAGCAGCACGCGGTACCACGATACTTTGTCCACGCGGTGCTCCAGCTGCACGGTCACAGTTCCAGTCTTAAGGTATTAAGGATTTTCAGATGTACTGGAAAAAGATCAAGTCGTACTGAACTTAGGTGCTTCTTATAGACAAGAGTAAATAAAAGAGGTCAAGAGAGCTTCATTAGCTGCACAGTCAAAAATCGATAGATCCTTATAAATTAATAAACGATTAAAATGCCAGATGAATTATGAAGAATTACTCACATCCATAAACCAATAATTTACTAATCTGGATTGTTGGGATTCTTATACGGTAGGTATCGATCTGGCGCGCACTGCGGTCTGCTTTCGTTGAGACTTTAGAGAGAATCAAAGTCAGGACTCAAGGAGACATGAGACCGGGCGTGCCTTTCAAGCAGTTCCCAGTGTTGGTCAGCCCTATCAGTTAGAACAAGACACTTCTCTTCTGTGCCGTCATCAAATAAGTGTCATTGGCAGCTCCATGTTCATCAGTTAAAGTATAACTAAATATCTACCAACAAACCTGATTCTCTTTCTCTAGATGTAGTTGTGAGGGAATGGCACAGACCCTCTGAATGAATTCGAGTGTTTTTCACGTGCTTGCATCATCATCGATTGAGTAAATTTCTAACAGAATCGAGTGAAATATATCTTTTATATAGGAATTGTTTAAATGTCTAAAATGAGTTTAAATTAATGATAAGACACTTGACCATAAGACAAGGACACTGAGTTAATAATACTTAAGATCCGGAAGAATGTGTAGCAGCACACACATCTTGGCAAGTGTTTCCATAGAGAGCGTCGCCGATGATGGCGTAGGCGAGGGTGTCACGAGGCGACGTCTCGAGTTCGCTCAGCTGCGTGAGGATGAGATGTGACAGAAACTCTCGCATTTGCGCCAAGTCGATACCGTCGCCGTCGGTGCCAGAGTACAGGTTTTCTAGCGTGGTTCGCATCAGTGGCTCCACCTGAACGTTACGTGAAAATAAATGTTAACTAATCTGTAATTAGGTCTCATTAGAACAAAGAGATTAACATGGATTCTATTAGAAAACAACTGAATTATTGACGTTGTTTTAACATAGGACTGTGTAGATAAAAAACATACCATTTCCATGTGCTCCAAAGGTACGCCGGTGAATTTCAGGTAACAGTTTGATGCTTGATTCTCAGAGACGTAGTGAGAAACCTGGAAAAAAAATGAACTTTCATAATAGTTCAAATGAAACAAATAGTAGAAAAAAATGCAATACAAATCTGATGGTATACATCTGAATATTACCTAAACAACTGCAGCTAATAAGCCAAGCCATATTTATCAAGTACGAGTTCACAGGAAAAAATGCAACAACGATTTAACATCAAATTAGTACAAGTGTAGGAGAAAGGTAGTAATTTACTTCACTGGCAAGTGGGTCATGGATCTCCACAAAAGCAGCTGGCAGAGCACTGATGGAAGAGTGTGTCAGGAATTCCATGAGCACAGACAGTGAGAGGAGCCTGGACAGGAGCGGTCAAGCATCAACTATGAACCATTTCAGAGTTGTATGCAAAAATGGTTCTGCTAATTAACTGATCTCAATAAAGTGATAGTGATATATTTAAATTTGAAAATAAATAAGGATCAAATGTGTTAATAAAATAAGTGAAAAATAAAAAAGATAATTTGAAATTATACGATGGTTTACAGAAATGACACAACTAAAAAAAATTTAATACACATACACTGGATAGTGAATACAGCTCATTGTAAAACAAAAAAGCATGAAAACAATGATGCGAGGTAAACAGTAGCATACCAATGTGATAAATTGAAATTAACATACCAAATTGAATGAAAGCATGCTAATCAATTCTATAACAAAGGTGGAGAAAATGAGTAGTACTAACTGCCGGTAATCTTTGCTAGCCGAGGGCCCTCTCCAGGCAACAAGAACTCTGCCATTGTCTTCAGTGTTGCTGGGGTAGACGACTTCCTTGCGTACGGACGCCATCAATGGAGCCACAGGTCGTTGCCAGGGACGTGTAAATGGAGGACGGGGACCCTGAATGAGCAACAAATGTCATGATAAAAAAGCACAAGAAGTTAATTTCTAATAATTATAATTATTTAAATAAACTTTAATCAATTCTGTGTTCCATTTATACTTACAACTTGAGGAGTGGTGAGGTCTATCATATAATCACTAAACACTAATACCAGTTTGATTACAGGTATTTCAGCTTAGCTTTTTTCCACGAGATGACAACTAGTAATCAAATCTGCTTGACACACTACATTTAACATGAAGTTTTGAGCAATAAGTGACCACAGCCATGTAAGTACCTACCTTTGCTAAAATAGATTCTTCAAATTTGATGAGTACTTCAAAAAGCTTAGAGGCTTCCACCTGGCCTGTGATTATGAGATGGAGGTTTTCGGGTCGATAGAACTCACGGTGGTAAGCTCGAATCTGGAAGCACCAGACAGAAGATACCAAGTTGAAAAAATATAATGCATATATTTAGACAGAGTTGGTTAAGCTAGAAATAAATACCTACTAAAAATTTGAATTCAATAATTAGATTGGAATCCATGTTTCTATTAGTTTTATCATTATTTCTAAGGAGCAGCACTAAAAAAAAATTCACCTTCTCATTTGTTGTTGAATTTCTAAGGTTGAACATGAGGCCACCAGTTTCATATTTGTAACCACATTCAGGCTCAGGGTAAAATGCCCTTTGCAGGGCAAGAAAGCTTCTGTCAGCTCCACTATTTTCTCTGCTCTGCATCTCGGAGTAAACAACTCCAGCATCTTCGCCATCTCCAGTGACATGATACACTTCAGTTTTAAAAGAGGCATCCTGAAAAAATCAATGCAGTATGGTACTGTGATTAATTTCCAAGCCTTTACATATCAAGAACATTAATAGACTCAGGAGTCTTAACAATGAAAAGAAATCTGTCAGGACATATTGAAGGAGTGCAAAGATAACTTGTGTATTTCAGCATAATTACTTGAATTTTATTGTTTAAGCAACCATTTAAATGTAAATATATTAAATTTTCTTGCAGCCAGGAAAGCTGCAAAAAATTAAATAAAATATATTCACCAAATTGAAGTCAAGCTACTCACAGTAAGAGTTGGGTAAAGAAGATGATCAAGGTAGATTGGCAAGTGGTTAAGAAAGCCTTCACTGCCAGCAGTTTCAATGGTGAAAGCAGTGTGGTCAGTATCTGAAAAAATGGTAATTAATATCCAAGAAGTTATCAAGTATTAGGTAAATTCTCACACAGAAAAAAATTTTCCATTCATTTTTCCAAAGTTAAGAAAAATAACCATAATATCTAGAGTTAATGGAAACAAGCAGGCTGATTAGCAGAAAAAATTTCAATAATTACTTTTGGTATGGAAGTTGTTATGACAGGTGCTCAATTACAGCTCATTGGTTTTCAATGTGGAATAATATGGCCAGTTAATCAATCAATCACAGCTCTTCAATACTGAAAAGTGACCATAAGATTAGCAGTTGTAATGGGACAAAAATGAAGATTTCAATACTTCATATTTACTATCATGGAATAAGAATTTAGAAAGTTAAATCCATAGATTATAGATTATACTAAGAAATATGCAACAGTTGTTTATCAAACCAAATTTGACAAATGCTGGTTAACTAACCAGTCCAGGCATTTGTGCCTGAAGCAAGACATCTATTTGCCAAGAGATCCAAGACTCCTTTATATGGATATTTTTCTGACCCTAGGAACACTAGATGCTCAAGCGTGTGTGGGAGACCATCGTCATCAAGGGCTTCAGTGGCTGTAAAAAGACAGAGGTTAGTATATATAATAATATACATATATATATATGGCAAAGAAATTCATAATAAATTATATAAATTGGAACATTTTAAATTTCTAACATAGGAAATCTGGCAAAAGCCACTATGCATAGAAGCCAAAATGTGCCATGCCCCATTCCCAAACAATTAAGCCTGGCTATATTCTTCATTACATACACTTGCTTTCTTTCATAATTTAACTTATTAAATAATTGAAAAGACACAATTTCAGTCAGGTGAAATGAATTGCTCATTCATAGTGGTTGCAAATTTCTATCAGATAGGTAATAGGTATTTCTATTTGGTCACACTCACATATCCCATCAATAGGCTTCAGAAATCAAGTAGGAAGTTAGTAAACAATCAAAATTTCTACATACAGAATCATGCCAGAATGTTTGAAATTTAGTTCATATAGGCTATCATAATTAAAACAGCTAACGATTTCTATATTTCAGAACAGCCATAATAATTTCTTTCGAAAATTGTGTACCTAGATACAAATTGGCACCAATTTCAGAAGTTAGTGTGACAGAAAAAATTGAATTTGAAACTTAAGTTGGCAATTTTCTCTCTGCAAGTGAAAATAAATTTTAATGTTATGTCATGACAGTCATGTCGTAAGTCGTTTATCGGCAATCGGTAAATTGAGCATTTGAGAGCTAAGATGAATTAGGTATGTTATGAACTTATGGACTGTTGATATTATTGTCTACAGAAACTGTCAGAAAGTGGCAAGCCAAAACTTTCGACAAGAACATACTAGTTTGTTAGTCTAATTTAAAGTTTTTGTCCTACCAAGCGTGAAGTATCCACTGACAATCGGGCCTTCAACTCGGGCAAGGATGACATGAAGCCCTGTTCTTCGGCTGCGGAACTTGTTAACAACCAGGCCGTTGTCAAGTGTAATTGAACACAGTTGGTCGAAAAATTGAGCATGTCTGCTACTGAGATTAGCTCCAGCAGGTGACATAGCTCCTCCTGAAAAGAAGTGCTAGATCACAACGATACATTGGTAGCGATGAAGCAGGAGCGAGTACGAATAGTTATTCTCTTGATGTGAACAGAGACACGAGCCACACCGGCTGGCCACACTCCACCAATGCTTTGGCACTACTGAGTTTTATTTACTCGCGGTGCCTCTACAGATGAATGAAAGTACGGTGTGTTCAAGTATTGTTAATTCATTATCTTTTTTGTTGTCTAGAAACTCATTGTGACGATACAACTGAAATTGACTCTCATAATTTCATCTGGGGTTATCAGAAACATAAGAGGAGGCATTTGGCGAATATGTGGTTGAAACCAAAACCGGTTTCAAGATAATCGTGCACAGCACAGCATCTATACCTATATATACTCGTTATGACGAAGAGTTAACATAGCCGAATGTCGACTACACAATGTGGTACTCATGTTTTTTTACGTCAAAGACTGACTATTTCTGTCGATTTTACGAGTTTTGGATGCTAGAATTTGAATAATTTAATTGTTAATTTAGTGAGAGATAAATATTAAAGTTGAATGGAATGGCTTGAATAACCAATATGATATAAAAACGATATAATTTAGCGGTCACACTGTCTATTAGGCAGTATGCCGATTCTTAACATCGCAGAACATTCACAGCTTGTTGCGGTCTCGAACCCGTAACTTACTGCCCTAATTGTGCCTTGCACGACTCCCGGCCTCCTCGCCGATTCTGACCAGAAACTGTCGCACAGAGCTGAGATCTCTGCTCAAATCTTGGTACTCTGTACTTTATGTTAATTAACCACATTAAGCAACTGGAATGGTTGGAATAATTCAAACTGCGAAAAATCGTCCTATAAAAGTCTTTACAAAAATAAGTCTCAAAAGTGCCCGAGCGGTGTTTTAATATGTATAAAAACGATCAGGAAATTTTAATTTGATGGAAGAACAATTGAAATAAAAACATTGAAACAGCAAATAGTCTTTAAAATGCTTACACACGAATAATTTGAAATATTACCTTCGTAGACTAATTTCTAAACAAAAAGAACAATTAATTATTACTTCACTAATAAAATTTATTATAACTTCATAATCATACACATTCTAACCCTCCATGTTCGTCGTCATGTAAACCAAATAATCCTCATAAAAACATGTAATGTGTGCACATGCTGTATATACTCACCGTAGCTCAGGAGAGACAGGAGGGCGGCGAATCGGATGAATTTCATGATTGATTCTTAACAAATTTTACTATTATTTTAAATCTGAGAAATAATGGTTGTTATGGAAACTACTGAACCCTTTTGGCACGTTTCACTATTCTGAAAACACATTTAAACGTCTGTATTCTGAAAATTGAACAAAAATTTTCGTTGTAAAGCAGAAGTACCGTTATATGACACTTCAAGTTTAATTCATGCTTTTCAGCAAGAATCTATTTTATATTAACTTAAAAACACTTCTCATAATGATTACGATTTAGCAAGAATCTTTCACTGAGAAGGCTTTAGAGCATATGGCCTAATATAGCGCTATACCAAATATGCAATAAGTGTTTCGCGATTACGATAAAAAATGTGTACATTTTGAGACGTGAAAAATAAATTATCAAATAAAGAATAACACTTTTACTGGTGCTATAGATAAGGAAAAATAATTTAAAGTGTCGGAAAACAGTTTGCTCTAAAGAGAATATATTACTTTCGTTTCACTGCTAATTGGGACTAGGCACCTCCTTCGGAGAAATGCTTCACAATCTCAGACGAAAATGCAAAAAAATGTGTCGCTAATGGGCGACGAGAAGCTAAACATAGCTACTAAGATCTAACTATCAGTTAAGGTTATCTCATCCTTTAGTCTGCCATTAGCTGGGTATCTTCACCTCAACCGCAGAGAAAATACGTATAAAGCTCGGTAGAATTTCAGGGAGAAGCGCGGTGTCAAGTTAAACAAAAGCTAAACGTGCGTCGCATTCCTAAGTTGAAAGCATCACATCAGAACTCAAGTTACTCGCAATCATCAAGCTTTTTACAACGCTTACATTAACCCTCGTAAATGCTATTTGTAGATAATTAAACGCTATTGACCTGGTAATGAGAGTTACTAACACGGGACAAACGGTCCAAATGTGTGATGACCAAAGCAATCGCACGCACAATAGCACACGCAGATCGCGCTGTCTGCTTGACGTTGAGAATTCGTACCAGGAAGCTGGCTGATAGTGTTTTTGTTTAAATGATTATTTTTTTGTTTGAATGATTTCCTAACATATATTTTTTTGTTTAATGTATCATTTTTATCCCATATCTTGCTCCAGATATACGTATACTGAAGACATAGCAGCAATTAGATCTACCAAAGCTACAAATCGACTATAAAGGTGCATTAGGAAGCTAAGTATATCGCGGAAATCGAGAAATTCTGCAAGATGTGTAGGTACAGGCAGGATTAATAAAGATATATGGCTGTCAAGAAATTATGACGGCTATCATGATGTTTTGATGTTGATGTGAGCATGTGACGTTCAGTGGGACCAACCACTACACATTGATGATGTTGATGTGAACATGTGATGTTCAGGGGGACCAGCCACGACACATTGATGATGTTGATGTGAACATGAGACGTTCAGGGGGACCAGCCACGACACATTGATGATGTTGATGTGAGCATGTGACGTTCAGAGGGACAAGCCACGACACATTGATGATGTTGATGTGAACATGTGACGTTCAGTGGGACCAGCCACGACACATTGACGATGTTGATGTTGCAATATTGTGTTGTGATGTGATGATGTTGACTGATGATGTTGATGTGAGCATGTGACGTTCAAGGGGACCTGCCACGACTCATTGATGATGTTTAGAAGCACATGTTTCTGCTGCCGTGTAATCACTACAAACGCCGCTGGGGAGAACGATTACGAGACGATGCCAAGGTTAAAAGGCACCATTAGTGACAAAAAACCCATCAGCCTCTGTTGCAGAATTGCTTCCTCATTTACCTGATATTTGGGCATACTGCGTGTGAACTATTGTCAACTTGGACGGATAAATTAGTAACAAGTTACGCAAACAGTATTAAATTTTATTTAATCAGGAAAGTGAAATATATGTAGGTAGTGCCGTAAATCTAGAATCCCGAATGCTTTAAAGTTACTTTCGCACTGAAGCGTCTGAGGGCAGAAGTACAACATCTTTATTTCAGATTCACCTGCACGATAAGAGATGTGCACATTTATTCTGGCGCTGAGGAAATATAAAAGGAAATTAATCGCAGAGTACAGACCACCAGTGGATGAATAACTATTATCATTACAGTGAGCCACGCTGTTTGCATTTGAAATTTGCAGTTTAACATTGAAGCTCCCTCTGCCTGGCACGAAGATTGTGTCAATAATTGCAGTGCTTCGAAAAATAGGAAGTAGTTAGCAGGGAATTTCGATGCCAGCAAGCAATAATAACTTGAGAAATAAAATAAAAATTGTAACGTCGCGTTGCCAATATCACCAGCAAATATTCAAGGAAGAAGAATAGTGTTAAGCTTTGAAAATATATACACGAAAATGTAAATATCTTCAAGTTCTATCTAATCGACAGATCGAATCACAGCAAAAACATATTACAGACAACGGTCCAAGGCAAGCCTGTCAAACACACTAAGAAAGTTCTGCAGGCTTAGCAGCTCCGATAAAAATATTGTCTTGGGTCAATATGCAAAACACGGAACTAACACGTAATCGTATTTGAAAAAAACACGCGGCAAACGCGTTGAGATACGCGCAATGTAAGATGCAAACACGTTATCGTACTAGCAAAACACGCAGCAAACATTTCGCGATAAGCGCTAATCACATACGAAATACATACGTTTCCATCAGTACGGTAATTAAGATGTGGAGGTCATAACATTACAACAAGGCGAGCAGCTCACGAGGAACAAGACAAAATTTGATTTGTAGAATATGGACAGAGTGATATCGAAAAATAATTATGTCTCTTAAAGGCAGTATATAACAGTGCAGATCAAATGCCATTTCGAACTTTATAGATGACCAAAAGCGGATGTTAGCTAAAAAAGTTAATGGCTTGCAGGCACCAAGGCTGCCATGCAATAATATGCCACAATATATATATATATATATAAATTCTATGTATAGCCTTCATAAAGTTCACAAGACTGCGTGGTGCATGGTAATTCACGGTGGCAGAAAGTTGTTCGTGATGGCAGAAAGTTGGCCGTGATGGCAGAAAGTTGGTCGTGATGGCAGCAAGTTGTCCGTGATGGCAGCAAGTTGTAAGTTGTCCGTGATAGCAGAAAGTTGGCCGCAATGACAGAAAAATTAAGTTGGCCGTGATGGCAGAAAAATTAAGTTGTCCGTGATAGCAGCAAGTTGACCGTGATGGCAGAAAGTTGGTCGTGATGGCAAAAAGTTTGCCGTGATGGCAGCAAGTTGTCCGTGATGGACAACTTGCTGGTTGTGACAACTTGCTGGCTGTGACAACTTGCTGCTGATGGCTGTGCAGTGTGGGGCGGAGGTCGCTAGGCCGGAAGGCGTACAGCGTCCGCCCGTTGCGTAATTGACGCGCATACCTCGGATGTTGCGTTAAATTTGTGGCGAAGGCCGGGAGTGTTGCATGCCAGCGATGCAACTGTTTAGTTCAACAAGTGTTGATCGTTCATTAAGCCATTATAGAGACTCTATTTTTCAAAGTCATCACCGTTACGACTTTGTAAAGAAAATTTAATAACATATTCATTTCAGGTTTTAACTGAAGATTTTTACGTTTTGAATTTCTCTCAATGAATTGAACCACTCTTTAAATTTTTATCCACACTTTTGCTCGTTAGTTTTTGCAACGAGTTATTAATACATAATTTTTCACTCTTCATTCATCTCAACACAAACATAATTTTTCATGTCACTGATCGGCTACCTATCGTGCGACGGACCACGATTTACTTATTCAAATTACATATAATGCAATAAATAAATAGCTTCGATTTCCCTCCGCCACAGCCACAAAGGTCACCTTCAGCCTCATACATCGCGATTCGTGCGTGATGATCATATTTTAATCAATTAATTGAATTAAAAAAAATATTATTCAGTACTCACTGCAGTGAGTGACATGTAGAGAGCGCATTTTCTCGTCGACGAAAACGTGAAGTCACGGACGGACAGACAGACGGACGGACGGACAGACAGACAGACGGACGGACATACAGACGGACGGACATAACGAGCACAAAGTGCATTTTTTCATAAATGAGAAAACGCGCTAAAAAGTACGACTTAGAAAGGGCGGTAGAAATTCTCGGAGAATTTTAAAAACAACATGGATGAGATGCACAAGTAACTTTAACAACAATGCGTGCATATGCGAACTGCAGGTTTTAGGGTACGGAAACTTAATTTTTTATTTATTTTAAAATTTTCAGTGAGTTCACATATAACAAATAGGTTGTCCACAATGAAGAGCATCGGTCGTTTCTGTTAATAATTACTTGTTATCCTCAAGAACATCATGAAAACTCTAGAAACGCAGCATATACAATGCGAAAACTTCATCAAAATATCAGCGTCTTATCCCTTTAATAAAGAGACATTTCCGGCATAGCAATATAAGGAACAAGAATAGCAATGAAGCCTTGGCCTAGACGGCTGAGCTAGCTAGGTCACTGCTGTGTGCCACTAGCTAGGTCACTGCTGTGTGCCACTAGCTAGGTCACTGCTGTGTGCCACTAGCTAGGTCACTGCTGTGTGCCACTAGCTAGGTCACTGCTGTGTGCCTCTAGCTAGGTCACTGCTGTGTGCCACTAGCTAGGTCACTGCTGTGTGCCACTAGCTAGGTCACTGCTGTGTGCCACTAGCTAGATTATCCCACAGTTCACCAGGGCATACAGTAATTCAGTGTCTGAATAGACCTTTGATAAATTTCACAAAGTCACCAGTTTTTACTGAGTTAGCTGACCAGAACGCTATAAATACAGCTGCTTCATACGTAAATAGCTTAGAACTTTTGTAGGGCAATCCTATGTTTGAGTATTTAAAACTGGAAACATGAATCTTGCCTGTAAAATTATTTCCATGCATCTTATAAAGATTCATTCTCTGTGAAAATTTCTATTCGTTTTATCTAACACTATATCGAAATTAAAGATAATATTAAAACATTCCACGCAACATTTTCTTCTGTCCTTCATCTGACCCGCGATTAACGAAGTCAACGAGGAAGGCAAACCAATAAATTTGCACAGCGTTGCATACTTACTTTGTCTGCTCTTTTTTTTAGTACGAATCCACACTCAAGGCGTCAAGCCAATAGATTTCTTATGTCTTTGAC